TCAGTCTTTGAGAGAGTTTATTGCAATCCTCTTTGATGACAACCAAAATCAACCATTTGTGTCTCTCTGTTCAAATGTACATTTCTGATGGTTTAACCCAAAAGGTAAGTGGGAACAGGATGGTGTTTTCCTAGATTCACTCACGTTCATTTGCCCCTAGGTTGTAAGTGGCCTGTACCCCTCAAGTCCCCTTTGTCCATTCCACGTCATTGACTGCTGCTGCATGGGACCTGTTTGAACTGCTCTGTTTCTTTGTTGTCGCAACTCTTCATGGTGACAAGTTAGACATAACGGACGATCTTCATGATTGTCATAGTTGATTGTTGAACAGAACGCACAGAACACTCCAAAGCACTTGTCACACTGTCGCACGCACATCTCACACACATTGTGCTCACAAAATGCACATGGCATAGATTCCTTTTGTTGATGACAAACCCAGCATAGAGATAAAGTGATAGTTGTTGTTGGTAAAGCAGGAGATTGGGCAACATCTGTTTGGCTTCTTTGACTGTTCATAAGCATTTGAAATGCACAACCTGTATGGTTACAAAATATCACTAGTAAGTTACAAGATATCTATTTCAAGAGAAATGCTACAAGCACATTCTTATAGCACAATCTGCCCCTAAAATGCCGCATAAGTTTTGTTTTGTTTTTCAATCCTACCCTGTCAGAAGACCTGCTCATAATAAGAAGGGATGCAGTGTTCATATGTAGGTATTTGAAAGGGGTAACTTTTCTGTCAAAGTTGTATACAAAAGGGTAAAGGGTTGGACTTTAGGGCAAAGCCTTCCCAATCCGCATACAAAACTTTATAGTGTACTAGCCAGTAATCTTACTTGTGGCAATTGTTACAATGTCACTTGGATGTACATATCTAGACCAGGCTTAGAGGCATTATGCCAGCATAATTTTGGGCATAATGCTATAGTTAGAGCATCGAGCATAATGCCAGTATAATGGGCATTTTTTCAGCATAATTAGAGAATAATAATTAATAACAATATTAACAATAATGATAATGATAACGATAAATATTTCCATAACTTTAGGGAGAAATTTTTACTTTCAAGTGCTTTTAGTAAGGATTTTAAATATTCAAGGCTGCACAACTTCTCAGTGCTCATCAAATCTGTCAGTTACACCTTGTGGCAAAACAATATCAATCATCTATCGCTTTTTCTAAATGATTGTACCCTAATTGAAAACCTGAAGAATGAGCTTCCCAGATAAATTGGGAGGGCAGATGGAATAGTGGATGCTGTTGACCCTGTTGGATGGTGGAAGACAAATGGTTTTGTCTTTTTGGTTTGTGCCAACTAATTTAGCTTGTTCTACTGATNGGGGGGGGGGGTACTCCCTTATATGAGCTATATAGGTATGTGCCGCCCCGGGATTAGGCCACGGTTACTAAGGGGGACAGGTTGGCAGGCTTTGTTTTCTAAAGCTGATTGATCATTGGGACACTGCACCATTCACAATCAGCAATGTAAAAATTTGCATCGTTACTCGCCTACCTGTTAACTTTCATTCACTTGTTTGCGAGGAATTTTGAAAAAAACATAACCTACCACTAGAACTGTGATCAACTGCGTAAATTCCATCATTGCGCGCCATGACACTTTCAGTTGCTGGGAGCTTCTGCGGCTGTGGGGACTCTCCAAATGGGCAACGGCGCTTTGTTACAAGACGGCTTAGCTCTGGGGACGCTGGAGGTGTTCTGCATTCGAAAATCGGTTCCATTTGAACGAGTAAAAACGGCGAAACACAGTTCCACAAACACAACATGCACTACAAAACACGATCGCCGTATTCTTCGGTGGAGGCATGGATCGAGTAAGTCCCAATCTCCACGCGTTCATCCAACTTCCGAAAGAGGCTTTGTTTGCGGTAAGGTCTCTGACAACATTACATTTGGAAAGAAACGAAAGAAAGCGAGATTTAGTAATTGTGTGGGCTGTTTTACAACGCTATTTTCGGTTTCAGGTGTTTCCGAAACAGAAATGGTGTCCTCTGGAGCGGTGGATGCCTCAATGATGGGATGTAGTACGCCTCATGATAACTAATTCAGACGAATGACTGGCTGGTATAAGGCAGGAAACACGAGGCCAGAGACTCCCTGTGAAAGAGAGCATTTCCGTGACACGAACTATCGAAGATAATCGCGGAGCCTTTTTATACCTTTATCCACAAAGATAACGATAATAACTCTGGATTACGTACGGTGGTTAAGCCGGGACATCTGTGAAACCGAGACGAAAGCTACACTGTTTTTCTCACGCAAGTGTGAAGTCCAGACGTCGTGGACTTTAGTCCTTTGTTGCCTATAGATCCTCCTGATCTTCATTTGTTGAAAATTTAAGTCGTATTTTTGCTAACTCAAATTGACGTCCATTCTCTGGGAAAATGGTGGACGTGGATCCTGATACTCTGTTAGAATGGCTAAGTATGGGGCAAGGGGACGAAAGAGATATGCAACTCATCGCTTTGGAGCAGTTGTGTATGTTGCTGTTGATGTCGGACAATATCGACCGGTGTTTCGAAAGGTTAGTAAGCTTATAAATGACATTCAATCTATTTGTTATTTGATTCCCAGTGATTTATTGCTTCTAACGTTGTCGTTTATTAATCAGTCGTTGGGAAAAGCGTTTTAATATGAAAAATTCAAGGTGAAAAATCTCTAAACTTGCCAGACACCTATGGTTTACATTTCTCGTGTCTAATAAGACCGAATTGTCAGATGTCGTGGTCCCAGATTTGTTCGCTTGACTTTTGTGCGAATTAATTGAATAGCAAAGCAAATAACTATTTTCTCTCCCGAATTCTTTTGAGTTGAACTTAAGCTTAATATTTTCTCTTTTTTTGTGACGATGAAAGTCGTGCAGTGAAATGGCTTTCCAAGGAGTAATTTGTGTTGTGTCAAAAGAAGCGATGATCTAAAGTCACTGACGTTATTAAGAACAGAGAATTGGTTTTTTCGTTAATGGCATTTTATTGAAATAATGTTATGTCATTTTTCTTAAAAACTATGTACATTGTATTTTATTTTTATATGGGTAAGATTAATTGTTTTAAATGCGTACATAAACATTTTAGAGGAATTTTGTTTATATTCCTACACTGCAATTTCGAATTATGTTGAGCAACTCCTTCCAATATTGTCAATTGATTTTTTTTTAAACTCATAATGCAAAAATGTAATACTTTTACTACCAAGAGCCATCAACTTCTTATTTCTTCATCATCATCATCATTATTCATCATCACACCATGGGACATATCAGCCCTTCTTACTCCTTAGATAAGCATGAAAAGTGCTTTGTAAAATTCACTTTTTTGGTACATAAATTATAAGTCTTTAATTGTAATAATTGAAAGGGTGAGTGCAAAACAATGCTAAGTGACGATTTGGGTGAAAAAAAAAAAATTCATGAAAGGGCCTGAATTTTTGCATGTGGTCGTCAATGTAATAGAAAAAGGTGGTCCTGTATTTTTGTCGCTGGTTTTTGCTTTGTTTTATAAAGGCGCCGCTAGAAAAACTGAGTGGTTTTTTGCATACGCAATATCTCAAAAACGAAGCAAAGTTTAGTAGAAAAACTACAGGACACTGCTAAACATACCTAAACAAAACTGCATGCGAAATTTGGAGCTTTTTTGACAAAGTTCACTTTTGAGAAAAATACCTAATGCCCTTTTTCAGCCAAGCCCTTCAGATGAACGAAGCCTGGGCCTTTGTTATGATAAACCGAGCCAATCCTTTGTTATAATAGACTGAGACGAGCCTTTGTTATAAGTCAAAGTCTCACCTCGGTTTATTATAACCAAGGATTAAAACAAAGGATCGGCTCGGTTTATTATAACAAAGCCCGGTTTCGTTCACGTGAAGGGCTCGGTAGAAAATGGGTGTTAGGTATTTTGCTCAAAAGTGAACTTTGTCAAAAATTTGCCTCGTTTTTGAGACATTACGTATGCAAAAAACTTATATTTGTTGTCACGTCAACACACGACCGTAAAAATGTTCATTTCACTTAAAACACAGCAAAATGTTGATTTTTCTCGCAATGCGTAACCTTAAAAAAATATTAATTTCAGATCAAAAACAGTTAAAAGGTTGATTTCACGCTAACGCGTGATGGCAAGGATGTTGATTTCACTTAGTAACCAGCAAAATGTCAATTTCATGCAGCGCATAAGCTCAATGATGTTGATTTCAGGTCTAAATAGGCTAAAATGTTGATTTCACGTTTACACTTGACAGCAAGGATATTGATTTCACTTAGAAAACAGCAAAATGGTAATTTCACGCAACGTATAATCTCAATGATGTTGATTTCAGGTCTAAATAGGTTAAAATGTTGATTTCACATTAAAGCCTGACGGCAAGGATGTTGATTTCACTTAGAAAACAGCAAAATGGTAGAAGCCCATGATGGGCTCCTGAAAATGGTAATTTCACGCAGCGTATAAGCTCAAAAATGTTGATTTTAGGTCAAAAAAGGTTTGAATAACAATAAAATAAAATAAAACAAATTAACATTTCAATAAGCACTTTTCTAAATACGGCAACGTCTTAAAGGGCTAAAAATCACGAGATAAATACATAGTTTTCGACAAATGCGATCTTAGCTTTATGTCACACACTGCATAACTTCGAAATTCAAAATGCGCTGGTACCTCTTATGCCTGACGAGAATAACAAATTTTGGTGGCTGTTTAGTTTTGGATTTAAGAATTTGATGACTTCACATAAAAATGCTCTATAAATAGGGCTGACAGATTAACAGATTAACCCTTCTGCACAACATATGGGTCTCCATACATCTGCATGTTTGCTGATCCCAGAAGCTCAAAACACTACAAATCATGCCGATTTGAAATAAAATCAACGCAACCTGGATCACAGATCTATGTTACAAGCCCTGTACCATTTTACTTGAATGTACCTCAAGAGATAGAATGATTTCTCATCACTAAAACCTCTAACTGTACTCCTATTACAGTTGCCCTCCACGAACATTTCTTCCAGCCTTGTGCCGGATCTTCTTGGATGAGTGTGCTCCTGAAAATGTACTTGAAGTAACTGCCAGAGCCATTACATATTACCTTGATGTGTCAGCAGAGTGTACTAGACGAATTGTGGCTGTGGAGGGAGCCATCAAGGCCCTTTGCAGTCGGCTAGTAGTGGTTGATTTATCATCAAGGACCAGTAAAGACTTAGGAGAACAATGTGTCAAAGTAAGTTTGCAAGGTGCCCAGCAACAGTTATCTTTTAGTTTTAGAGGGTAAAGGCTCAGTTAAATTTTGCAATGATATACATGTACTGTACATGAAGAAAAATGTAAATATATAGTTGAAACTGTCTATAGTTGCAAGGCATGTTAGGCAAACAATGTGATCAACATTTTAACTGAAGGTATATTATCCTTAAAATACTAGCCATATTGGAGCCATAGTGTAAAATCTTACCAGACAAGTCTGTCCTTGTAGTTTTTTTTTAAGAAAATGTCTGATAATCATAGTTTGTCTTGTGTGATTTTCTGTGTGAATGTGATACAATTGCAATTGTTCTTAGTAAAGAGTAGCTGTTTAAAAGTGCAATCATGATAATAGCAGTTAATGGGTCAATGAATCTAGACAATTCGTGAAATTTGACCCTACCCTGTTAAAACAGCCACCCCATTAATNAGAGTAGCTGTTTAAAAGTGCAATCATGATAATAGCAGTTAATGGGTCAGTGAATCTAGACAATTCGTGAAATTTGACCCTACCCTGTTAAAACAGCCACCCCATTAATACTGCCGCCCTGCTAGTACTGCCACTCCATTAATATGACCAAATTTTCATGACCCATTGATGATGGTATTAACATGGTTCCACTGTTGATACAAATGTCATTTACTTTTTTATAAACAAACTAAGAGGAAATGTTTTGAATCCAGGTTCTGGAACTGATATGCACTCGCGAGGCAGGGGCTGTGTTTGAGGCAGGTGGCCTTCAGTGTTCACTAACATTTATCCGTGAGTTTGGGAGTGCTGTGCACAAGGACACACTTCATTCTGCCATGAATGTGGTAACCAGATTGTGTGGAAGGATGGAACCACAGGACACCAACCTAGAAACTTGCGTTAAATCACTGTCAACATTGCTTAAGCACGAAGACCCATATGTAAGTGCTAAAATCTCATTAACCGTATTCAATAATTATGGTAAGATACACAGTATTGCAGTCTTGAAAACCTATTCAATTAGCGTAACAAAGAGCCGAACTCAGTGTCTTTGTTCTGGAGATCTCTGTGAGGAGAATTTCAGTTGTACCCTCCTATAGGTATGTACAAGTACCTTACAGTACTGTCTACCTTACCTCAGGTGCAGAATATCTATGAGAATGTTTATGGAATACTCCTGTTTATTACTCAGCTCTTATTAACCAAGCAGGAGGTCTGTATGGGAGAATCTTGACCATGGTCAAGATTCTCCCATACAGACCGGCTAAGCTTGGTTAATAAGATGTTTATTACAGATGTATATGGCAAGCAAGATCAGTTTAATTTGTTCAATGTAACTAGTTTGTACTAACAGTACAGACATTTTGCTTGCAAATGGTGATGAGCTGAATTTAATTCTGCCAAAGTTTACTTGTCCTCTTTACTTTTTTTTTTCTCATCAGGCTTTTAGGCACTTCCGTAAATAAATAGTCAATGATTTTGCATTTTAGTTTGCAACTTTTTCACTGCAAAAAAAATTACCGGTCTAGATGCAGGTCTAGATGGGAAAATCTAGACCACGTTCAATATCGATTTTAGCCAATCAAATTCATGAATTTGGTAGTTCCCAGTCCTTGCAAGACAAAGGCATATAATAAACTGTGATAATTAAATTCTCTGAATTTATCTTTTTAAATTTAAAAATCTGTTTTGGCCAGTGACATTTATTTATTTGGCACTCACTCAATTTCTGACAAAGAAAAACTTGCTCACTCAATACCCATTGTGTTGTGTGGCACAAATGGTCTCCACAAGAAATGCCTGAGTTTCCTATTCTCTAGCCTTTTTGGTGTTGGTATGTGTGGTCAAATGTGCCCTCAATTATACAACATGTAGTTGTTTTACTTGTGCCACAACTGTTAAATCTTCCAAAATCAACAATATGTACAGGTATCAAAATACAAGTTTAACAGCAACAGTGCTCTTCCCGATGTTTACAGGTATCTGATGGTGCTCTTCGGTGCTTTGCGTCCCTTGCTGACCGGTTTACCCGCCGTGGTGTTGATCCTGCCCCCTTGGCTGAACATGGACTGAGCAGCGAGCTGCTGGAGAGGCTAGCAAGTGCTGCAGCTTCTGCTGGTGAGAAAACAGGAAGTAGTGGAGCCACGCCAGACTCTAAAAGCAACAGTACATCAGTGTCCACCATCGTTAGTCTCTTATCAACACTGTGCAGAGGATCACCCAGTGTTACTCATGTATGTAAATATGCCAGCTACATGTATCTAACTTGTAACAGCTTTTTGTTATAAACTGTAGTTGTAAGATTCTCATTACATTGGAGAGTCAATACATACATGGATCATGAGATTGTCCAAGTTGTGATTCATAGGGTAATGATGTAACTTGTAGTCAAAATCATGATCAGTGGCAAAGATCTTTGATTACTTCATAACATTAACTATTGTATATACATGTAGACTTGGGAACAATTTTAAACTGCCATTATGTTATAATTAAGTCTGGATGTCCTGGCCTCTGTTCTGACTACTGGAAGTAGACTTGCTTGATTGGTGGGAAAGTACTTGCAAGCAATGAACTTGTAGCTCAATCTCAGTTCCTTGCATTGTACATGTACTTAACTTATGTCTGGTCAATATCCCACCATTTAGAAATTTTCTGACTTCTGGACATACATGTAGACTCACTGGATTGCTGGAAAAGGAGTTTGCAAACAATGTGGATATGTACATGTACATGTTTCTTGATCTCGGTTCTTTGCAAGTACATCATTTTTTTCTCGTCAATAATCCATCAGTCAGAATTCCCTATACTGAAACTTACCTTCATTTTGAATTTTAATCACTGTAGTGTACGTATATTTATTTCATTTCTAGTGTACTTCCAGTGTGTAGTTAGGCCTTTCTATTTTCTTCTTAACTCAACCTTTACATGTTACGTACATGTTTGCTCACTGACAGGATTTATTAAGAGCTGGACTTCCTGATGCAATCCAAAAAGCCCTCCAAGGTGACGAGAGATGTGTTCTGGACACCATGAGACTGGTAGATCTGCTCTTGGTTCTGTTGTTTGAAGGACGACGAGCCTTGCCCAAGTCCTGTGTCAGTATTCCCAAGGGAGGAATTTCTGGCCTTCGAAGGTTTGACAGTTCAAATGAGAGGTCACATCGACAGCTCATTGACTGCATCAGAAGCAAGGATACTGATGCAGTGATAGATGCTATTGAAAATGGTGAGATTTACATGTATAAACTGGCAGTGCATTATAATGTATGTGTTGTAGGTCAGTTTGTTCTTTAGGTCAGAATGATTTCAACCTACAGATTAATTAGTACACACCACTCCCCTCAGTTCCTATTGTAACCCTATCCTATCTTGCCAGGATCCCATATCTACCTCCCTAACCCTAAGTAACCCTGACCACAACCTTAACACATGTACACATGTACACATGTACAGCTGTAAAAAGAATGAATTCGGGCCATAGCAAATACAGAGCTGCCATATAAGCAATTTGTCACAATATCAAAAATATCTTTACAATGTAGGTGGATTTGAGGTAAATTTTATGGATGATGTTGGACAGACTTTGCTGAACTGGGCATCTGCATTTGGAACCTTAGAAATGGTAGGCCATGTAATATCTTCATGTAGCTTGTAAGATGCTTTCATGCAGTCAGCAATGTCGGCAGTAACAAGGATTCATTTTTGTGCCTGACATTATGTGATTAACATTATCTTGTAGGTGGAGTATCTTTGTGAGCGAGGCGCAGATGTCAACAGAGGTCAAAGGTCCTCTTCTCTACATTATGCGGCTTGCTTTGGAAGACCAGCTGTTGCAAAAGTAAGTTTGACAGAAGTGTGCAGTGAATGTGCACCAGCTGGGATGACTTTGTTTGTTGACAACTAACAAAATTGTAATTATTTAAGGTCTGTGGACCATTCTCTAATCAGGGCATTTGGAATAGAAATTAATGAGTCTTTTGTAGTAGCCTATTGAGAGTCAAAGAGTGCTAAGTAGCTTCTACTTATTAAATACTGTTTAGACACTACTCTCACATTGCCCATTACTTAGGGTTTGGTAATCAATGTCAGTTTGTTGGGGGAACCTCCAATTAAAATCTGTAGAATTCTTTTCACAACGACTTAAAATACTTCATGTCAGTTTGCCATGATTATTATTGTTATACAGCTGTTAAGAGCTGCATAGAAGTTTGTCATTAGCTACAAGTGCTGATCAGAACTACAATGTTAGTAACTTTGTTGTGGTTGTTTTCAGACTTTGCTTCGGCATGGTGCCAACCCAGATTTAAGAGACGAAGATGGCAAAACACCCATGGACAAAGCCAGAGAGCGGAATGATGAAGGTCACAGAGAAGTTGTACATATTCTACAATCACCAGGTATGGTTTCTGTTAGCTTTGCGATTACAGTATATTCGGCCAGTCAGTCACATCACTAACATGCTGATTTTATATTCCAAGGTGAATGGATGGTACCTGTTGGAAACAGTTCTGCTTCATCCTCTACACCAGCGCAGCCAGCTGCTGCTCAAGATTCCACCAGTGCCGAGGAAAAGAAAGAAGAGCCAGAGGATGTCAAGGGAGACCCAGAAATGGCTCCTGTTTACCTCAAGAACCTCCTGCCGCTGTTTGCCAAGAATTATAAAGAGACAATGATGCCGAGCATTAGGAAGGCGACCTTAGCACTGATGCGTAAGATGATCCACTACGCATCTCAAGCTCAGCTGGAAGAACTGTCACAGAATTCAACATTTGCCTCAGTCATAGTTGAGGTTCTATCGGTGGTCTTGGATCATGAGGTGAGAGTGTAAATCACCATGAAAAAAAAAATTGTTCTACAACATTTTCTCACCCTTGCAGAGCACAAGTCAATATAAAACTGTCCTATGTAGTGGACCTTACCGGATGTGTAATTCGTCAATTTGTTTTCCTTGTAGGATGATGACGATGGCCATTTGACAGCTCTGCAGGTCATAGAGGACTTGTTAGAGAAGTGCCAAGAGACATACATCAGTCACTTGGCTCGTCTGGGGGTCATTAGTCATGTGGCAGACCTTGCAGGACCAATGCAAGAGGTGGAAGCTGTTGAAGAGGAACCAGAGGTGAAAGGAAATGAAGAGGAGACTGAGAAAAAGGTATGATATACATGTATTACTTTCTCAAGATAGTTCATCAAGTTTAAACAAAGGAAATCATGACCGTGACGGTGTTTGGATATCTGATCTTAATCAACATAGATTTTTATGATTTTCTTTCTCTGTTTTCTCCGTAGTTTTAGTTTCGATTGAGAAGATATACTAAACACTCAAGAAAGTGTTTGACCACATTTCTAAACACCTAGAAGTTCGTCAAAAATACTTCGCTATGCATAATATTTTCAACTCTCTTGTCGGTGTTAGGTAATGCGGTTGAACTTGATATATTATGTTACAAACCTGGAAGTGAAATTTTGCTTGAAAATGAAAATCATGCCAGATGTCTGTATATAGGAACACAGATACAGTGTGTATGATGCCGTAAAGGCAACTTCCACAATGTAGCAAGGAAATTTGTTGAAAACAGATGAAATTAGCAATTTAACTTTTGTAGTATTATCTAGGGGTTGCGGAGAGGGGAGGGGGGAGGAGTACTCTTTTGCTTGGCTTGGTCTTTTAGGGCTCCGGATGACATGGATAATGTACATGACTGTATGAACTTTTATTGCTACTTGAAAGTAACAAAATGGTGGAAAAGTGACCCCTAATGCTTTGTTATCTGGGCCCGATTTTAGCCCCACCACTTCTAAATGGTCTCTACTGTCCCTGTTGTCTATATAGAAAACAAGTTGAATTTTGCCGAGTTATGCTCACCAGCTCGGGCAAAATTGGAATCAGGATGTGAGCATTTGCTTAGTACAAATATATTGACAGTAACTGCTTAGTGATACATTATTAACTGGTCTGTAATTTTAGGATGAAGATACTGTTCAAGAGGATGCAGGCGATATAGAACAGGGCAAGCCATATCACTGGCATGACTGGTGCATTGTACGGAGTAGGGACTGCCTCTATCTGTGGAATGAGTCTTGTGCTTTGGAGCTTTCTAATGGTAGCAATGGTTGGTTTAGGTTCATTTTGGATGGGAAACTTGCCACCATGTACTCAAGTGGCAGTCCTGAAGGTGGATCAGACTCATCTGGTAAGGGAAACATTCCTCATTATTTTGGACACCATGTGGCACTGAATTTGACTTCTCTGTACTTTTCTGTTCAACCTTTCACTTACGTTCAAGAAATCACAACTTTAAGACTAAGTTGAATTTTAGGACGGAAGTAGGAACATTGTGAAACCTATAAATCTGAAATACATACTACTTGGATGCTGACATTAAGGAGTTAAATTAAAGCAAACTACAATGGCAACGGGAACATGAATCAAAGAGACCTTTTAATGAGCAGAACAATGGCTTTGCATGTGTATTGAATATCTTGGTACACTCTACATTTCTTTACCGTTCTCCCAAAAAAACCATGTGAAATGATGAAATTCCATGCAGTCTGGAGAACGAGTGTGGATGGCTGATTTTTTTATATTTCTTTTTTTGAGATAAACATTGCCTTACATGTACATAATTATTCAGTTTTGGGAAAGCCCTGTCAGTGAGAGACTGTCAGGGAGATCTAGATTATGTGTTTTTTAGATTAAACATAAATTCAGTCTTTAATCGACGTTGTTCTCGATGCCATGGTAGTGGTAGCTCCTTTTTATCTAAAAGTTGGAGAAATGCCCAGCCCTAGGCTTGGTACTTGAGACTAAAGAGCCTGTAAAGTAGTTCACCCACCTGCCTCCCACTTACACTGTACAATAATGTCGTGTTGTAAGTGTCATAGTCTGCGTACTCCAGATTTGCACTGTAGCTTGATCCTATGATGGCACTAACTGTTAAACATACACTGTATGCACAGGTTTGTATTCCTCACTGACAATATCTGTTGTTACTTTCCTTTCTAGAGAGCAGAGGAGAATTCCTTGAGAAACTCCAAAGGGCACGTGGCCAGGTGAAGCTTGGAACCCCGAGTCAACCACTGCTGTCGTCACCAGGTTCCACTCGACTCTCTGTAGGTAACTGGTCTCTTACATGTACCAAAGACAAAGAGGTATCTGTGCACAATGCTGATGGACAGCAAGCCACCATTCTTCGTGAAGATCTAGCTGGCTTTGTCTTTGAATCAAACAGAGGGACAAAGCACACCTTTAACGCAGAGACATCCTTGGGACCTGAGTTTGCTGCAGGCTGGATGGGAAAGAGAGGAAAGCGGTTCGTGTCAAAGGTCGAGGCACAGAAGCTGAAGATCAGGAACTTGGCCACTGAGATTCAGGAGAAGTATCTTCTTGCTGCACAGGCTGCACCTCGTGAAGTGGTAGCCAAGTTACAGGAAATTGTCACACAATTGCATTCAGCTTGTTTATCTCAGGAAAATCTTACCAAGGTATGCTGAGTATTTCACTTTGCATAACAGAGGTAACAAGATCTTATTACTACATGAAAATTAGCACTCTATTGAGGTTCTTTTAGAGAGGTTGCATGTAGACTGACACCTTTTCATGTGGCCTGAAGGTCCTTACAATGCAGTCGGAATAATTTTAATACAAAGCAGTTTTGTCTTTCATCATCATTTCATCATCCTCCATGTTGCTGTTTCAGCATTGTGTCGCGTATCTGTTTTTTACCTCTTTTTACGAGGTTTTATTACTTATCAACTGTTTGTAATGATAACGTAATGCTAGGGAGAAAGTAAAGAATCCTGGAAGGAAGAAATGTTTGGTGCATTGAAAGGCTTACTTCAAGTGCTACAAGATGACGCCACAGTTTCCTCATATGAACTACAATCCACTGGACTGGTTACAGCTCTTTTACGCTGCTTACACCAGGTATGATGCATTATATAAAATAACAATGATTTGAGATTGATTTACTTCACGTACTACTTACAATAACATCAGCATTGGTGACCCTGCAATGTTAGTACAGGCAGCCCAACTGAGATTTATCTTCCTTTGACACGTATACATAAATTCTGTTATGAACCTTGTATCAGCCTTTTTAGTTGATTTTCATATTCTTGGACTAACAATGAGAAACTGTGAGATGTGAGAAATGCATGTAATATTATCAGTATTTCTATCTTTTCCTTGCCATTGTTAAGCTAAAATACCATTACTTACATGTAGTTTACAGAAGGCAAGCCACAGCTATAGCTCTTTGTTTTTCTGGCCTTAGAAATAAATTCAGATAGTAGGTACTATGACTACATGTATACATTATCTAGCGTCATCACTGGCAGGCGATGTACACTGTATGTAACTTTTTCACCTGTTGCGGGCCTAGAATTGTAGATAAGTTATCACGCTATTGTGACGGTAGTTGTGAAGAACAGCGCCGCGAAAAAAATCCACCGACTACAAAACTAACGAAATACGTTTTTTTTTTTTTCATTTAAAAGATACATACATGTGCAGCTACAAGTAGAGTCCAAATGCATTTATTTATTGAGTGATAATTACAGTTTTCCCCTCACACCCTTTCTCTGCTTCTCGTAGACTGGTAAAGCCATATCTGAAAATGAAAATACCAGCAACCGAGCTGAAGAGNTCGAAATTCTCTGAGTTAAACTGTAATTTAGAGCCCTTTCTTCCCCATGAAATTCCTAGTGACTCTTTTTCGGGCGGGTTTGGATATTTTTCGCAAACACATGCTGAAAATTAAGATGAAAATGCAAGCAACCCAACTAAAGCACATGAAACAAGGTAATCATTAACTGACGTAGTGTTTTTTTTTGCTTCCAGGAGTGGTGAAGTTACATCCGCCTCCATCCTTGTTAAAAAGCTTGTGGCCGTTTTAGAGTCAACAGAGAAGTTGCCTGTTTTCACTTATGAATGCCCTGGCTCAGGTCTTCAGGTGTGTGTCAGATCCAAATATTTAATGATGTTAAGTACACGTAATCTGTTTGATATATGACATTAAACATTTGTGAATGTCACCAAGGAAAAAATCAGTGTGCCATCAGTTGACTGTGTATTACTTCAATTTAACATTTGTATAGTGTACAGTGTTATACATGGGCAGCTTTTCATGATGTGTGACGTATTTTTGTATATTATAATCAGAATTTCGCCTATTGGGAAAGGAAATACCATCACAGTAAGTTTGTAAGGAAAAATAATGATTAAAAAATCTCTGGCAGGCACTATATTATAGATTCGTTTATGAAAAAAAGGCGGTTACTTCATCGGTTAATTTTGTCGCAAGTGGCCTGGTTCAAGTAGTCGCACTGTAAGGTTTCCGGCTGTGTTAAAGTTGAAATAAGTCAGTAACTGCACTGCTCTGAACAATTATGTTTGTTTTCAGGTGTTGGCAAGGCGACTGAGGTTCCAGTTAGAACGAGCTCCAGGAGAGAGTTCGCTAATTGATAGAACAGGGCGAACTTTGAAAATGGAGCCACTGGCAACTGTTGGGGATTTAGAACGATATCTGCTGAAAATGGTGAGTTTATTTTGTACTGTTGACGTAGAGGCTGGGCGACAGCTGTTTTCATTGTTGTTACACAGCTCAGTTACCAATACGCAGATGAAAATTGGCGAATTACCTCTAAGTCATTAAACTGCTAGAAAATAACCCTACAGGGAATCTTAGATGGAATTAGATCACACTTTTGTTGGAGTGATCAAAAGAAGGAATCTTATGGATTGTTTTCCCGCACTTTTAATTACTTAATGAGTTTGGAGCTCGTCTTGTCAGTGTAGTATGGCTCAACTTTACATTGCAATTATACCGTTAGAAGTGTACAAAGTTTTACAAAGTCCTACTGCCTTGCACGTGCCCCTCACGTGTCTGTCGCGTGTGTTTCACGTGTGTGTTTCACGTGTGTGTTTAACGTGTGTGTTTCACGTGTCTCTCTCATGTCTCACATGTCTCTCACGTTGCCTTGTACGCGTCTACTTGGATTTTTTTGCCATGCCACTTACGTCAATCTCGAACTGAAAAATAAGGTACAAGAATAAAGATACTCCCCCACTTCCCAAATCACAATCGACTAAATCTATATGATACTCCCTTTCACAACGCCTGGACGCACATACAGTACATAAAGAGGGCTTTGACAAGTGCTCATTTTATTTCGCTATTTTCCACAGGTTGCCAAACAGTGGTACGACTACGAGAGAAGTAGTTACCACTTTGTTCGTCTTCTCAGAGGAGGCAACAAGCTCACTTTCACTCACATGCAGGACTTTGATGAGAACGGCATTCTGTACTGGCTCGGTACAAACGGCAAGTCTATTCCTGACTGGGTCAACCCGGGCTCGGTGGGAATTGTGTCGGTTAGTACCTCAGAGGGCAGAGGACTGCCTTATGGAAAAGTTGAAGACATTCTGAGCAGAGACGCTGCAGCACTGAACTGCCACACCAATGATGATAAGTATGTGAACATAGCTTCAACCGTTTTAATCGACTAGGGTATGGTAATAACGTATAACGAGTAACGGATGACACATAACGGATATAACGGAAATCACGTTTTTCGTATAACGGATAATGTAGCTCTCCTTGACGTTATAACAACTTTTATTGTATGGCTAGCTCCGCGAGCGGGCAAGATGAATCAAATCCTGCGCTGTGATTGGCTACCCGAGCGGGCAAGATAGAGCTATCTTGCCCGCTCGGGACTACNATCCTTTATTGACCAAGCTTGTTCGGCCAAGATGGCTGGATATTGGCCTCGTTCTTTTTTTGCGAGTTTATGGACCTCGACTCCTTCTCCGTCCATGAACTCGCAAAAAATGAACTTGGCCAATATTCAGCCATCTTGACCTCACACTTGGTCAATAACCCATATAGCCTGCCTTTTTGTTTCGTACCACATTTTTAAACATTTTCACGCCGTGGTCAACTCCACATTTAAGTTTCGTCAAGTGCAATTTAAGTCACACACATCTCTATGGTGTTACTTGATTCCACTACATTGCAATACACATGGTGTTTTACAGCTAGTTTTCTGAGCACCCACTGAACGTCAGAACTTACATAATACTGCATTGGTTAAATTTCAGGTGTTTAAAATTATGTGTTCAACGTATAGATTTAATCATTTCCTGATTTTCGATTTTTCTGTTTCCTTTGTAGGAATGCGTGGTTTGCCATTGATCTTGGTGTGTGGTGTATTCCATCCTGTTACACTCTCAGACATGCTCGAGGCTATGGAAGGTCAGTTACTTCGCGACATCCCAAAAGTTCTTTACTTCACTCTATTCAAAGATTAAAATCCTATCTAAGAAAAGCCAGAGTTCTAAGGCGTATCATTTTTGTTTATCCTGCAGAAAAGCTGTTCTGCAGGATACATACGGAAGGTTAAGTTTGCCGAAATAAAATGCGAGCACAGTGGAAACAAGCGCTGTTTTCGGTAAACTTCGTGGGCGCATCCGAACAATTCCGATTTTGATTGTCCAATCAGAAATGGCAAGAACACGCCGACAGTTGTAAAGAGGCTTTTCGCTATAATATACGGACGCCAGCAGATCGGCCAAGCAATCACGCCGGCCAAATGAATTCTAAGTTGAAGGATTTTGCCGCGAACTGAGAGTTACTCGCGATTTTCGTGAAGGTGTATACATTGTATGAAAATGCATGTGTCCTCTTGGCATCTTACAGAAGATGAACCCATAGGGAGTTGAAGTGGTTTACGTCGTCTTTAATTATGATAGAATTTCATGTGACGAATGGAAAGAAAAATTAATTCTCGTTCACAACGATCCCTTTTAAAGATCAGTGAACGGAAAATGTGGGGGGAAAAAATAGTGGTGACTTTGCCCATCACGGGAAGAAGAAACACGATGCTTAATCTCGTTACCAGCGAAGGTCATTTTCTAAGGAAAGAGTTCACTAATTGTTTCGTGATTTTACAACTACATGTATCTTTTTTTGTTGACTTTCCTTCATCTTCATATAGGTCTGCTCTTCGTAACTGGCTTTTCCAAGTGAGCAAGGATGGAAAGAACTGGACCACATTGTACACCCATACAGACGACAACTCTCTCAATGAACCCGGGTATGACATTTAAGAACTTATATTTACTTCTATAGACCAGTAGTAGCTATGTACCCTCTACACCAAGGCAGGCTCCAAGGATTTGAAATACTCCGGCTGGGGCAGATCTAGCGGGGAGGTTCGGGGTGTGGTCGAGCCCCCTAAATTAAAAAAAAAATTGACATTATAACACACTGGCTTCGTGTCAGAATGCCGGAAATCCCATGNCCCCCGCACCCTACAGTATCTCGAACCCCCTTCTTTAAAATCCTGTATCCGCCCCAGCTCCGGGTCTCTCACTTCTTCTCGGTGTCCTAAACCACTTGACCACGTTGCCAAGAGAGATGAAGATTTTCAAGGATTTTTAATTGTACAAGCGTTTTAATCTCCAGGTCCACAGCCTCCTGGCCGTTAGAGCCTCCCTCAGACCAAGAAGGATGGCGCTATGTGCGTTTGCAGCAAGCTGGGAAGAACGCCAGTGGTCAGACTCATTATCTGTCTCTGTCAGGATTTGAAGTGTACGGAACAGTAGTAGCAGCGGTAGAGGAACCCTTAGGTTAGTTCCTGTCTATTCTTAAATGTTGCTATAGAGGAACACGAATCACTTGCCTGCGGTATTCGCACAGTGATATCTGTGTCGTTATCTACCTTTGAATGTGTTAAAAATAAGGATCACCGATCAGGTAAGTCGGTTTCAGAGGAAAACCTCACACTACAATAGACTGGGAGTGATTTCTTCTCTGAAAATCTCAGACCAAATCTCACGCTCTCTGTAATAGTCTCTCGCTCTTAAGCGTCCAAAGTAAATAATTCTCCTCTTAAACGTCCAAAGTAAAATATTCTCCTCTTTTGAGGTGCTTGACGCTATTAGGAGCCTGGACCCTGGTTCTTGCTCCATCATACACTGAGTACACTGCCCACCTTCGCTCAAGTAGACAAGCACAAAATCAAAAATCCAACTTAGTCCAACCTGGAATTGCATCCCCGGAGTACAAGCCTTAAACAAAATTGCCTTCAAATCAAAGGCAACCTCAATGTTTTAACTGTTTCCTACAGTGGAAAAAAGAAAAAAAGAACTGAGCAAGGGGAAGGTCGTGTCGATCAAGATAACCAAACTTTTAGTAACTATTTATAAATTGACTGTAATAAACCTACAGGTCCAGAGCAGTCATCTTCCAAGGGTGTCACTGCCGGTGAGAAGCTGGCCAAGTCACTGAAGCCCTGCTGGTCCCTGTGTCCTGGTAAAGCTGCGCGTGAGGTGGAAGCTGCCTTGCGCCGCCAACGCCGTCTCATCCGCTCGCAGATGTTGAAACACCTGAACGTGGGTAGCAAAGTGGTCCGGGGGATGGACTGGAAGTGGAAAGACCAGGACGGAAGTCCCCCCGGTGAAGGCCTCGTCACTGGGGAGCTACAGAACGGTAACGGTGATAACAACTTATACAGTTGTGGGGGTGGTGGGCGGTGTGTGTTTTTGTTGAGGGCTCTTCATAGCAAGATCTGAACTGTAAAAACGTTAATGTTATACATTATATGAAGAGCCTTCATTTTTAAGGTCGCCAAAACAGATATACTACAAAATGTCAAATGTTCGTGGTTCGAATGTCTGTAATACGGAGAGTAAAATGTGCAAGGAAAGTTTCCTTAGTGACATTTAGTTTCCATAATGGAGTTGTATCAGTTCTGCGTCCAGTAAATCTCGGGACTAAGCAGAAACTTCTTCAGTCACTCTAGAAACTTCTTCAGTCTCTTCTTGTAGTCTAAGAAAACAACTACTTAAAGAAGCTTAGTCACCGTATTTTGAGTTATTGTGGCCACGTACAAAATTGCCTTAAACTTAACTGAAACCCCAAAATAAAAGTTAAGTAAGATAGAAAAACACCAAAGAGGTAATAAAAAACCATAAAGGAACAAGGATGGTTAAGGATGGAGAAGATAAAGACGGATTTCAAACAAAAATATTTTGGGCTAAATTTTCCTAGATGCGTAAACCGTGACGTGGCTCCATTACGGGACTGGAACGTGGCGCAGCAAAGCGGTTTTCCCAACTGTGTTACACCAGCTTGCGTTTGGACATTCATGTTGACCTTCGTCTTGTTGATTGTAGGTTGGGTCGAAGTGGCATGGTCAAATGGTACTTCTAACTCTTATCGTATGGGTGCTGATGGCAAGTTTGACTTGAGAGTGGTCGAACCAGGTCCATCCTCAGAGGCTGCGGGCGAACCTTCATCGTCCAGCCCTGGTGAAGAAGGAGCTTCCGAAGAGGGATCCTCTACAGAGGAGCCTGAAGTTGTATCACCGGAGAAACCTCAGCAGGAGAATTCCTCGACGTCTCAAACTGTTGATGAGTCTAGCGAGGTGTTAGTGGAAGCCGTCCGAGTTGAGGAGATACCCGATGAAGGTATATTTACGTCAGATGACATTATTGACTCGTCTGGGAATGCAGTGGTGGTATCAGAGACAGCTGCAGACAGCACGGAGGTGGTGCCGAGTGCCGATGAACCGAAAGAGACTGTAGGTGAAATAGAAGAGGTAACAGAAGATGAGGGACTGCCTCCTGCCAGACCTCCCTCACTGCCACCCTCCAGGCCCAACATTTCGTCTCCTAACATTTCTGTGGGAGAAACTGCAAGAAGGTAGAAACATTTTCTTGGAAGTTGAATTTGGTTGTCTTAACTGAATTCGTGGGAAAGGTCACATCTAGTGCTCTGCTTACGGTAGGCTACATACTATTCTCCGCGGTCTCTGATTGGCTCAATCAAAATTCGTCATATGGCTTCAGGAGTGATGCATTGAAGCTCGGTCATGACCTCATTCTGCGCATGCATGAGCAGCAAAAAATTCTATTTGAATTATATCATGAGATCAGGACAGAGTTTTCAGCGCGCCTTGTTTCTCTGTATCCGCCGTGCTAATAACATTGAATGTTAGGTTAGTTTATATCTCAGAGTGCACAGTACAGAATTGCGCGTGATTTAAAACTAGTCTCCAAACCAGGTTANCATGAACAGCACGTAGGTTGTAGTTTTTACGTTCAGCCAATTTCAAGGAGCTCAGTCACGGTTTGCGCATATTGCAACGTTTAGCCTCATTTTTTCAAATTCGTTGTTTGTAATCCGTGTTAATCTTCTCCATCCTTAGCCATCCGTGTTCCTTTATGGTTTATCATTATCTCTTTGGTGTTTTTCTATCTTATTAAACTGTTATTTTCAGGTTTCCTACCATTTAAAGGTAACTTTGTATGTGACCAAAATAACTCAAAATACCGTGACTGAGCTCCTTTAACTTCTTGTTGCTGTATCGAATCGCTCTTTTTCCAGATCAATGCGAGTCAGTTTATGTGATCATAGATATTAAACAATCAGTGACACAATATTCTAGGAACCGCTTTCCCAATCCTTCCAGCTTATGAACTTTCACACACCAGTCGGACCCTCTGTCTCAGAGATTACCTTACTCAGTGAGCATTTTCAACTATCAGTCCTTAGAGATCAGCTAAGTGTTATCTCAGCTAAGGCAGGGAGACGTTTTTGACCATGGCTTAACTAATTGTTTGTTTTTATCTTGGTATTTTACCAGCAGTCAGAAGTCGAGGTGTGTTTAGATGATCCCAAGGCCACCATTTTCTCCTACGTACAAAAGGTTGCATTGGCTGCTGGGATATCTAAGAATGAGCGAGTGCGAAGGGTCTGGGAACCAACCTACACGTGAGTTTTCTTTAAGGAATACAGTGTTATATAAAGACACAATTTTAAGGTTTTGATTTTTCAGTTGAAATTAAAAAGTTTGCTTTGTCCTCCGCTGCTTACACAACAAACAAACCGTTCTTGACGATCAAGTGTTATTGTAATTATAAATTTGGCTGTTTTTCTCCCGTTCAGTATCAGCTATCGAGAGGTTCACGACCCCGAACAAGCGGAACGATCAAGTGAAACGAAGGAACACTTAGAAACAACGGTAACTGATTAGCTTCTTTTAATTCCACATACTGTCTAGGTGAACAGCTTTAGCTGCATAAGTAACCCACAGACAGGATGAATGCGTCTGTAGTTGAAAAAATTGCAGGAAAAAGAGACTTCTGTGGTCTGCTGTAGCTAGCAAGTTTTTGTTTTTATCATTATTTGCAACTGAATTTCGTAGTTTCTAATTTGCTTGCTTGGCAGGCAAGCACTTGCTTGCTTGCCTGACTGACAGACGGACGGATAAATTGACTGATTGATTGATTGATTGGTTTATTTGCCAGGTTCACTGGACTATATCGTATGTTGAGCGCTATCTAGGAACAGATGACCTGCCTAAGTCCGAAGTGATCTCGTTCCTTCAGAGGCATGCTGATGCTGCATTCTTGAGAAAATGGAAGTTGTCAGGGGTGCCTAAGAGCATACGAAAGAACAGAAACTGCTCTCAACTCGTGGCAGCTTACAAGGTACTTTACGACACTCTAACAAGGACTTGAAAGTCGATTTCACCTGACCCTCACAAGCGATCAATGAATTTCCCGGTGTTTCGATCGGTCTCGTGACCGATATGCGCCTGCGTTGTTTTCTTAAAGTTTCTGTGAAGCTTTTCTTTACTCTGTTTAATCACAAACCTGTTTGTCTTTCCTTCAACAGGAGTTTTGTAATACTCTGGACTCCTCCCCACCCAACTCCCCCACTCTTGACAAGGCGGAAGTCAAACAGGAGGTAAAACCGGAGGTGCCAAAGGACAAGAGCTCGACTGTCCCCACACCAGTAGCTGTCAATGACATGTCCGCTATTCAGGACATTCTGCAGCTCCTGAAAGTCCTCTACAGTGTATCTACCAGTTCTGCGTATGACTTTGGAGATGGTAAGTTTTTAAACGAGGGAGGGAGAAATAGCAGGGTGGGTAAGAAGGGTATTTCTTCCGACGCCCGCCCTCTTTACCCCCGCCTTCCGTACCCCCGCCTTCCGTAGATTTTCATCCCTCTGTACTCCTAGCTTGTGGCCGCTGCGCTCCTCTCTATTTTGATGGCTTGCACAATCACTGTTTTTTCTACCTCTTTAGTAATTTTGGAGAAAAACTCGTTATAAATTTGAAGAGCTCGAATATATGTTTTGGGTGGTAAAGTTTTATTTAAAATGACGTAGGCTTTGAACGTTTCAGATTTTTATCTGGGTCCTGTCGGGCGCTATATTTCCTTTCAAAGTTAGTATGCTGTGAAAAGTCAGAAGTTTCAATTAGGCTGTTCTTGGTGTTATTTTATTTACACTTGAGTATAAGAAAACATTGAAGCATTTTTTGCCTCTTCTCTATTCAGGTAATGAGAAGTACGGATTCATCGTAAGCAATGAAGATTTTACAAGTAAAAAACTCACAACCAAACTAATCCAGCAGATTCAGGTAAGAAACAGGTTATATTAACTGGACCATCAATAGTCTTTGTCAGAAGGATATTTAACCAGCAATAACAACTTAAATCTTTGTTCTGACTTTCACTGTTTATTTTGTGTATTTCTTTGTCGAGGTACTCCATTTATTCCCTTAATTATTTCCCTAAAGTAATCTGCTCATCTGTTTTTGTTGCGCATTTTGAAATTAGTGTATGTTAGCGGTCTGGGTTCGTTGCTACAGCGGAGACAGCCTCGTACCGAGTCGTCTCTTCTATTTTGCGACAGAAAATGTGGGCGCAAAGGAAGACGGGTTTTCTCTTAAAATGGAGAACTTCCAAAGCTAAATTAAATTCAGAACGACGATAACAAGAAAACGACAGGACTGCGTTTAAAGGGCGATGTCACAGGCACTCTGCATCTCGTCTTTCCCCTTGTCATGGTTCCTTGTGCTTTAAGTTCGTATTCAGTCTCTCCCGCTCACTTCTGACTGCGTGTCATCTCGCTTGTTTTGCAGGATCCATTAGTGCTGTCCAGTAACGCGTTACCAGAATGGAGTGGAGTGTTAACCAGCACGTTTCCGTTCTTATTTCCTTTTGAAACGAGACAGCTTTACTTTTCATGCACAGCTTTCGGAAGCTCACGGTAAGAGAGACACAAACGCTACCTCTCTGACAGTTGCGCTCTTGTTTTTCTACAAGTTCCGTTTTATGCTGTAGGTTCCTGTAGATAGTGCAGAGAGTTTACCTTTTTCAATGTCCATTTGAAAATATTTCGTGTGTAAAACAGAACAGGCCTAATGGAGACGTTCTTTATTTTGGGGCTGCTTTCGGTTATTTTTTCCTAACCCTCGTGAAATGTCTCATCTTCCGCTCCGGTTCGAAGCCAAATTATTTTTATTAAGAAATCTGATTATTCCAGGAGACTGTTTTAGGTTTCCGTGGGTGGTTGTTTGCGTGTTTCATAATATATAATGTGTTACTCTTCGCGTCTAAAGTCTTCCGTTCTCTCTCATCAGAGCGATCGTTTGGCTGCAAAACAAACGCGACGTAGCGCTGGAACGAAGCCGTCCTCCGAGCCACAGACGAGAAGAGCAACACGAATTCAGAGTAGGGCGACTAAAACACGAGAGAGTGAAAGTACCACGAGGAGATGAGGCAAGTATAGCTATGCGACAAGTGACTTAAAAGGTATATCCAAGGGAAAATGATTTGAGTTTGAATTAGCGCTGAGTTTAAGATAACCGAGTTTAAGATAACCGAGTTCAAGATAACCGAGGTCAAGATAGAGACGAGGTTCTACTGTAGTGAATCGAGAAAGTATCAAAATAGCAAGGAGAGAGGAAATGTGTTAACTTTTTTTTTAGCGGGAGAGACCCCTTAGTAACGTGACGTAACCTTATGACTTCCTGCTGACTTGACGACATCCGGTGTGCTCGTGAGTGGCCGTGCAATAATCTGATTGGATAACAGCATCGGCAGTAGACTGCTGGCAGTCTGTTTTTCTCTCGAAATTCAGTAGGGGTTATGAGGCGAGGCGTTTTGTTTAAAGGGGAATGGGACGAGACATACCGCCCTTGTTCCGCCTTCTTCCCTATTCGGCCACCGCCATACCGCCCTTTTGCGTTCGCGATGACTTAACACTCGTCCTAGTGACCCTTAGAGAAAAAACCGGCTGCCAGCAGACTATATCGGCAGCGCCCTTGAAACTTGCTGAGATTGTACAAAGTTTGTTTTGGTTTCTTAGGCCGACTAACATGTCTCGTTCTTGTTTGCCTTGCAGTTGTTAGACTGGGCGATGAGTGTCCTGAAGTTCCATGCTGAACGCAAGTCTGTATTGGAGGTTTGTTCGTTTTGTGGGTTAATTCCTGACTTCTCTCAAGGTCTTATACCAAAGACCACCGGGCAGGTCATAAGAAACAAAAGGATTTAATCCTCTCATGCAGACATAAGTTATTGATTCACAGCTTAATTCTACCAAAAAACAATAGGTGATTTATGAAAGCTTCGGGCTTTCACGCGATGCAAAGGAACATCGTTGCGTGACGGAAAAAATGGAATCGTCATATAACGCAATCTCTTATTTCAGGTGGAGTTTGAGGACGAGGAAGGCACAGGTTTAGGGCCATCACTTGAGTTTTACGCACTTGTGGCGGCCGAGCTTCAACGCAAGAGTCTGGGTATGTGGATTTGCGATGACGTCTTAGTGGACGAGACTGCGAGAGAGGTTTGTTGAAGAGAACTGTTCTTCGGAAAGTAGTTTTGTCATTCTGCCGTGCGAATATCAACAGGACGTTAATTCTTTTATTTTGACTTTCAGGTGGACATTGGACATGGAATTCGTCCAAGGGGCTATTACGTGCAACGCGCCGGAGGCCTCTTTCCAGCGCCACTCCCACAGGATGCCCCTGATACCGAGAGGGTAGCAAAGCTGTTCTATATCCTTGGTGTTTTCTTGGCTAAGAGCTTGCAGGACAGTCGATTAGTAGACATCCCGCTGTCGCTATCGTTTCTAAAACTCTTGTCTTGTAGTGCGCTGTCATCAAGCAGCAACAACGCACTGTCTCGTAGTCGCAGCACTTTGCAAGTAATCGATGACGCTTCGTGTTCGCTCGATGATATAGTTGAGTGCTCGGACACGATGAACGAGCTCGATCAACCTCAGCCGAGCCTGGAGGAGAACGAAAATGCGATCAATAAATTGGACTGGGAATCCAGCAAAGAAAGAGAACTTATCGAAGAGGAAGAGGAACTCTCCAAGGAAGAAAATTCTGAACTGAGTAAAACTAAGGAAAGTGTTGAAGACATTCCTTTAACACCACCAACGAAGTCTTGGTTTGCGGGCATCTTGGATGATAGTGATATGGACATTGTGGACCCGCACAGAGCAACTTTTCTGAAACAACTCCAAGAGTTGGTCGCAAGGAAAAATGACATTCTTAAAGACGATTTGCTAACAACAAATGAAAAGAAAGCCAGAATATCGGAGCTGAAGTTGAAGACAGCTCATGGCGTTGAATGCAGTGTTGATGATTTAGGGTGAGTGCTATATTCCAACTGTTAGTACGCGCGCTGTGATTGGTCAATTTAGCGGGCCTTATTCTACCGTATGGCCCGCTAAAATTTAAACCTGTTTTTGCTGCCAAAATGTTCGTGATTTATCGTCAAGTGTTCTTAACGTTCTTAGCAAGTAATAGTTTAAGACTTTCTTTTACCTCTGAAACTGTGTAACGACTTAAGAGTCAGTCACTATTCCAATTGTTTTAAAACTAACAGAACATTATTTGCAAGCTGATTATTACGAATCTCAGCTGATACATTTCCTGTCAGCAAACCTGTAATCTTGTTTCTCGTCAACGATCTCCAAACAAACACGGTGAGACGTTGCCATGTTGATGGCAGGCTCGACATAGGCGTACAGCCTTCAGAGGTGTTGTAATAAATAGCTAAAGTCATGACTTGAGATGAATTCATTACCTTATGTGTTATTTTTTCAGGCTAACTTTCCAATTCTCGCCATCTTCCAAGGTTTACGGGTTCAGTGAAGTTGATCTAACACAAGATGGTGGAGAAAAGGTACATGAAATAGTTGTACTTCTTAGTGTCTGTTGTACTTGCGTGGTGAGATACTGTCTCTGATCTCAAATGTAATTAGACAACAAACAATCCCTGTCCCTTAGTTCGTTCAGCGAGAAAAGAAATAGAGCGAGAAAACAATAACTGCACGAAAAAGAAAAAAACCCTGTTGTCTGTAGTCTGATACATAATTTAGTTTTACTGTAGCCAGGTTAGGTATGATAAGCAGCGCAGCGCAGTAACGATTTAGTTCCTTTGCTAATTCGCATCTCTCCTACCGGTTGGCTCTGGGAAATATTGTCTTTTACTGATGTCTCTCACCCACTTGCTCTATAAATCTATATTAATGATATAAATTTATTACCAGTTACAGCTTGCATCTTACAGGGGACCTCATGTTTGATTACTCTCGTAATTCACCGTTTTTGTATACATTTTTAGTTCTGTACATGTAATTTACCTTGTCGACGTTTTCCTTTGTGACAGGTGCTAGCAATAGAGAACGCCGAGGAGTATATCAAGCTTGTCAAAGAGTTCTGTTTATATAACGGGGTGCAACGACAGCTAGATGCATTTAGAGGTAATACTCCTTGTACTCAGATGATAGAATTTACACCCAACTAAACGAATGCTTATAGAGCGTTTTTACTCACTTTACCTGCAGGCTTTCAAATTTATCGGAACAAAAGGAAGTGTTTACACGAGAAAAGAGTTAAACTCCCACGGGATAGGTTTGGTACACCAACGTAGCCGCCGTTTCATTGTTTTGAGACATCGATATGGCTGCCGTGTCATCTGTGAAAACACTCTGTTTAGTATGACTGTTTGTTAAACGAGTGAAGTAGAACTTTTAGGCATGCTAAGCACACCAGCGTAGTTGTTCAAAGCAAAGTCAAGGTTTGAACGAAGACCTTGTTATATTTGAGACTTATTCAACTTGATGTTTATTTTCCAGACGGCTTCAACTCCGTGTTTCCGATGGAGAAGCTTGGTCCGTTTACTCCAGAGGAGCTGCAGTTGATGCTGAGCGGAGAACAAATTCCTCAATGGACCAGAGAAGACATAATGAACTACACTGAACCCAAGTTTGGATACACTCGAGACACGCCAGGCTTTCAGAAATTTGTGAACGTTTTGGTCAGCATGAGTGGCGACGAGAGGAAGGTAAGAACATTTCACTTGCTTTCTTTCGTTTCATTGCGCATCTCGTTTCATTTGATTCGTTTTCTCGCTCGTTCGTTCGCTCCCGTTCATTCGATTAGTTCGTTCCTTCGTTTCTTCATTCGTTTCGTTCGTTCGCTCGTTCTTTCCTTCGTTTCGTTCGTTCGTTCTTTCCTTCGTTCGTTCGTTCGTTCGTTCGTTTCGTTCGTTTGCTTGTCCTTCCTGTCTTCCGCCCGTGTGTACATCTGTCGGTCCGTTCTTTTGTTAGTCAGTTTCTCTTTCCTTAAAGTGGAGACCCTCCTTTTCCAGACCTTCACATGCAGTATTCTGAACTTCTTTTGCTTGTTGTCTCGTTTCAGGCTTTTCTCCAGTTCACCACCGGCTGTTCGTCTCTCCCTCCTGGTGGCCTCGCCAATCTTCATCCTCGCCTCACAGTTGTACGTAAGGAGAGTGACGGGGATGGTTCTTTTCCTTCTGTCAACACATGCGTGCATTACCTGAAGCTGCCCGAATATTCCTCAGAAGAAGTTATGCGAGAGAAATTACTAGCAGCCACAAGAGAGAAAGGATTTCACTTGAATTAACTGAAGCCTGCGCCTCACTGAGCCTGAGGCTTTCAGCTCTAGAACTCGTGTAACTGTTGTTATAAGAAGCCTCAAAGACCTTGCATTGATTTCCGTCGTTTTTGTAGTTCAAGGATTTGTGATTGATTGTACAGACAAATCTCAGGGTAGCAAAGTGTCCCATGGCCATTACTACACGTCATAATTGTGTCATAGCGTGAGCGGGACGGCAACTTATTGTCCCCTACATCCAAGAGTTCCAAGAAGTCCAGTCGTATTTGTTTCCTATATGGCGTCGTAGAGTTAAATTGCCTACCTTTTGTAATGTTTGCCCAGTAAATTATTTAGCACGACGGGAATCGCAAATTATGAAGCATTTCGTTATGTTAAACCAGCTCAGAGTCTCTCGTTGAAAAGCCTTTGTGTAAACAAGCCAACAAAATGCAACAATTTGTAACGATGCCACTCCAAGACTGTCGCTGACGTTTCTTGGCAACCAATCAGAGTCGGCCATTAGTTTTAAGCTACTACCTGTGTGTAAGAATGCACGAAAGATCGCCCGCAAGATCACAGCAAGAAAAGAGACCTATTTTGTGCGTTTTTTATGCCAGTTACGATAAATTATATTGATCATTAAGTTTCTAGTTACGCACTTTTGAAACGCACTTTTGCTGCATTAAATATTAGGTAAATATGCAATTTAAGTAAAAGAATGTCCAAAAAATTCCTTTATTGTGGTCTTTTGCCGAGTGGCCTTTGTCACAGAGAGTCTATACTGACGGTGTAGTACTATATAAACTATTTTTAGAATGACAGGTCCTAACAGGCTGTTGTTGAGCTCTCCTGCAAGTAAATACGAAGAGGAGGTATGGGCACAAGAGAACACTGTGATGTGGTCTGGGGAGAGGCCTAATATGCTCTGCTCTCTCTTTCCAAACCGCGGTGCCCATAAAGGAGGCTAGTTTTGCCCTTCCGCATATCTTTTCTTGACCGAGCACAGGAGAAAATGTCCCTTTTGGTAAGTCCTTATTGAAGTACGTTTAGGCACTCTCTTTTTTCCTACGACGTCCAAGGTAAACGTAAGGTAATTCTCATTCAGGGAATGAGCGCCCGATCTCACATTGACTTCGTAACTTCGTCTCATGTTTTGCATAGAAACTGCGTGCGGAAATTTTAATTCAGAAATGACACAAACGAACACCCAGTATTCAAAATGGGTAAACTTTACTGAACTTCAAATCTCTGAGACAGATTATATCGATCACCAACTTAAGATCTGGAGCACTTATTCTATTGACCAAAATTCCAGTTCACGGTCAAAAGAAGACGCAATCTTGATCCCAGGCTCTTTCATGTTGGTAAGGAGTGACAAGGGAGGCAAAGGGGAGAGAGCCTGGGATCGAGGTTGAAGAAGACGGGGAGACTGTCACGGAGACTAAAATGACCTCCGTAGACTTCATTTGGACGGAAGAGCACAGGAAAGAGACTACAACAACAATGTGGTTCCACTCGTTTATTTTCACTAAAACAAATTGACATGATGTTTCTTAACAAAAGTGTTTCGAGAAAAGCTGTCTTTGGATTAGTGAGCATCCATTTTTTACTAAGTGAAATCGAGAGTAATCTACTAATAGCGAATTAATATTAATACAAATAAATGTATGACCTGCATTCGTACTTACAAATGTTTGAAAAGAAACCTCTTCTAGCATTAATATTTACTAAGATCTCCGTTGATTGACGGTAATACCAAGATTTACAATAAGATAATAACAATTTGTGTATATATACACTGGCACTGAGCCGCTTTACTTTAAGTTCCAAATCTGAATTCTCCTTAATAATTGCCTATTAATTGCTAGATGACAGTATTGAGAATTCGGTGGAAGATCAAGACATTCAATTAATAGTGATTTTCATTCTCATCAAATCGTGTCTGCTTACAAGGGAGCTATGTCAAGATATCGATATAAAATCATTTTTCCAATACACAACCTTTAAAACTGAAGAAACACATACACCTAAACGAGTCGATTACTAAGGTAGAAAACATACAACTCCAAAGGTGTTAGAATTCACCAAAATGGAGCACAGTTCGTGCAAGGCTAAGACTAAGGAACATCAGGACAGTATAAAATGAGACATCCACCACGTATTAAGCTCTCTTTTAGTTTGTACTAAAAAAGAATTAAGACTTTAATCGTTCTTGGCGATTAAAAGGGTTGGCAATCTGATACTGCATATAAAACAAGAAGCATACAAAAAATTATTTCAACCTTACTTCGCCAGCAAGGTTTACCAAACTGACCACTGTTGTCACGGGTTGCGTGACTCCATGTCACGCAACCACATAAAACGAGGGCAAGGATTTGGCACTGCGAATTACAATCTCGTTGCAAAATTAAAATTAAAATCTTCCCGTTGGATCAAAATAATTTCTTAGTAAAGTAAACCGAGGAAAATCTCGCCCATTTAGAATATTTCCTTGTATTGATTTATAAAACAAATTTGGTAAAAGTTCATATCCAGGCAACAATGATATGCGCCTGTTTTTCAAATATCATAATAAAGACTGCTGGCCATTCTACTTAAAACTGCGAATGAACCATTCCAATTAGTACAATTGCGAATCCCCATATGAACTGTGTTTTTGAACACGCTGTCGCTCTAACCCAATAGGTCTGCTGTGTTACAAGCACCATTTGGAGACACTGTCGAGGGAGGGGCCGGGATGTTTGTTGCTCCTTTCACGATGCCATCCATCTGGTTGCTCCAGAAATCTGAACGTGATAAAAGAAAAAATATATATCATGTGAAAGAAAAACACGGAATAAGCATCGGTACGGTTGTTACTTCCAGTTACCGCATACAAGATGCGAAAGTTGGTCCATCGCGAACCCGTCTAATCAAATGGGTCCATAGTCAACTCGTTGCATGTCTTTAAGGAACGTCACAAGGAAGCCGCGTTCGTGTATCTTAGTCAGCCTTGCCTTAAAATACAGTTGTGACGACTGAGTGGCTGCATCTTTATCCACTACCGTGTTTTGTACTCTGAAAACCGACATTAACACGTCATTTTGCTCTACCAAATGGCTGACGGAACCCTCAACTACGAATCAGGTTCTCTCTACGCCATCCTGGTAGCAAAATGATGCGGTTGTGATCCTTTTATTAACAGGTGAACCAACAGCGCCTGTTGCGGTCGGGAGAGCTCGTCCTTTGTAGCTAGGTTATAAGAATGGGAAACACTTCGCGTTTTTGCATTATTTTTTTTTTCTACAATGGCACGTACCCTGATTGTTCATGGCGTTGTTTAGGAGCGGATTGTGATTGGCTTCCTTCACAGTTAAACTGGTCAACAACTCAAGTTCCTTTTCAAATTCACCTGCGGACTGTGAAGAATCTAAAGAAATAAAAAAAAACAATCATGGAAATAAATATAAGTAAAATCTTTCTGACGAACTCTTTTATACCCCATCTTCATTTCCCTGCTTAACTCTTAGACATGGAGAGGGCAAACAATGCCCGCGTTTATTTCGAACGTAACAAGCATAAGCTCAACAAATGATCATCCAAATTTAGCGACCTTTCCTATAAACAAATGCTTTGCTGTCGCGAACTGACCTTTCGTTTCCTTTTCCTGTTTTGCAGAAATTTTATATAAGGTTGCAATTAGATTTGACGAATCCAAATGATAAGATCTTGGGATAATTTCAAAAGTCACTACAGCGCGATTTGACCTCATAATCGACACAAGATCAGCACTGAAAAAAGCCAATTGAAGTTTTGATACTTTGCACATGCATTTCAAGCTAAGCAGTAATAAAGATTAATTCCAGAATTCAATTCATACCTGTTATTTTTCTATCAGTTTGTACCGGCGAAGGGATTAATGGAGCTGTGCCTGGCTTTAACAGAACTACAGAATTACTGGAGTCGTCTAATTCCACAAGAGTTACCCCCTGTACCGGATCACTCAAATCGACCTTCACGCTCGCATCGTTTAAATCCGACGAACAGTTCGAGTTTGACAAATCCACAAGGGGCACAAGATCTTCTTCACTCGAGTTCGAGTCCTGGTTTGGATGTTGTTCCTCGTCTGACACGGCCGTCACCCTGAATCGCGACAGGCCAGGAAAGTCCGCTGTCAATACTTTAAGCTCTTCCGTGATATCTGGAGGATTTTCCAACTGAATCAACTTCGGCGGGCCCGTTGTGGCCTCGTTTTCAAGTGGAGACTCCAATACAGGCACGTGCTCTTTGACATCCTGAATGATACTGTCTGATTCACTGATCCCTCCCTCCTCAGTTTGACTTTCGTTAGCTAGTTCTCTTTCTTCGCGTTCCTTGGCTAAGAGTTTGTTTCTCTGGCAATAGCCGTAGATATCGGCAAGAAGTATTCTCTGGGTTGTTTCCATGCCCTGTTTAAAAAAAAAATAGAGCGAGAATTATTTGTGCCGAGAGCTGTAAGACATGACTTGCATTCTTGAGTTTGTGTTAAGTTATGATGCCTATTTTACCCGCCGACTCACCCTCCTTTCCCCTCCGTACCACATATGAACTCTAGAGGGCGAGGAAACGGGGGGAGGGAGGGGAAGACTATTCCCGTTTCCCATGGCTTTCTCTCTCCTTGATTTTGGATAGGCTTTAACTGCAATACAGTCCCTACTTAGAATGATTTCATCGCACGAACCGCGTCCGAAACAGTTCGAAAGGGATTGGGGAGAAACGGCTATTGTGAATCGATATCCAGACCCCTTTGTAGATGTTCTCATGGCTCGTCACGCTCTGCTCCTGTGGGGGACGAGTGAGGAGTGCGTGACGAGCCCAAAGAGCCTGACGAGACCGAAGAGTCCTAGTGTCTGCTTAAGATCCTTATCAATACTTGAAGGGGAAATGACCTGTCTAGCAGTCTAGGTGAGGCTGGCGGCAGTATTAAGTCTTTTTCGTTGTCAGTACATTCAACACCGTCACGTTCGAGAAATAATGTCCTTGTTTTCATAATAGTAAAGAGAATTTGGTGCTACATCAAAGCCACATGCCCAACACTGTGGTTGATGAATTTCTTCATTCTCCTTACTTGTCTGCTTGACAATGTATTGGTATTTTAAGGAGAATTTAGACAATGATAGAGTCTTACCGGCTCTTTTTTGAGCTCCTTATCCAGGTCTATCCGCACAAGGGACTCATTGACCTTCAGTGATAGAGAGAGAGCCATCAGTCCACCTACATAAGGTTCATTTTCACGGATGTCCATTCTCAGTAGGGTCTTGCTTTCTGCTATTACTTCAGCGAGGGCTATCATTCCTACAACGGAAACACAGAAAAATACGTCAAAAATACCCACAAAAATATCACTGTGCACTACGTCATAAATAACTCGACAAGTTTTATCCACACTCGTTTGCGTGCTCTTATTATGTCCTTACGAGCTTAAAAACAAAACAGTAATAAGTACTAAAATATACAATGAAAATACGGCAACGTAAAATTTAACAACAGATCACACTTCCAAAAGATAATCAACTTTCTTTTACAGATGCCAAAGGTTCTTCTGTACCAGATTTAAAACAAGCCTTAGAAGAACTCGGTGGATCATCAATCAATCACATCAATCAAAACTTTATTGACATGTCAATCTCAGCTAGCAGAGGGGAAAAAACCCTCTACTAGCTGGGGACACTTAACGATAATCATATAATAAAAAATACAAATCAAAGAAGCAAAATGATACACTGTAGATGTGTACTATAAAACCTTCCCTAAGTGGATACCCTTTGGGACCTAAAAAGGGGTCCAAATGTAGTTTTTACATTTAGTTTGAACCATGAAGGTAACTGACTATTTATGAGAGGTATTGCCTATGGGAGTTGCCCTTTAGGGTTAAGGTTAGGGTTAGGGGTCAGTGGCTATTTTTCCTGTACCTTCACTTGATATTCTTGTATTTAAAAGACCAAGTCTTTGTAGCGAGTGGTTTCTCAGGAGTCCTTCTTTCAATGTGTGTATTCCCTCATTAGTCAGCCGATTGTGTCCAAGATTAAGAGTTTGTAGAGATCTGGTACACATCTACAAAGATACATTAAACACGGCTACATATTACATGTTGTATTAAATTTCCCCTTCTTTGTTTTCTTTTTATTCACCTGCTGCCTATCTAGAACTTAAACTGTTTGGGAAGCTAACAAGAAAAACATCTAGCTGGTTAATTTAGCTTTCCAGCATGCACTTTAATTTCACTACAGATTGAATCAGTTTATACGCCATTTCAAGATTGCGTAGCTCGAGAAAATATCCTTACCTCCCCCACGGAAGGGGTGATCGACCCCTCACCCGTCTCGCAATTCCAATTAAGCTTAATACATTTCTTTAAATTTTTAGGTCTCACACAACCCCCACACCCCAACCCCAGGAAATTCCAATCCCTTTAGTCGGGGAGAGGGGGGGTGGGGGGGGGGGTAGGGATATTATCTGGATCAGCACATTGTAAAATTAATAACCTAGTAATTATTAATTATATCAATAAGCTCAATAAAGAATTATTAATACACATGTAAATCAAGGAACATAGGAAAACTTTGAAACATAACACAGCACTACTAGCAGAAATAAGATCATTACAAGAAATATAATGTGATTAACTACAAGACTGTAAAGTTTAAAACCAAATGTTCAGTAGTGTACAGAAACCAATATGGGTTACTGGTACCTAAAAAAAGCAACCAACTTACCAGTGCATTAGCCAGATAACCAACTCCATGGCTCATAAGTTGAGTGTTCCACAGTACCAGTGTCTGTAGTCCACCATTCTGCTGTTCAGCAAGCCCTTCACATATATGACCTATACCCATGTCCTACAAAAAATGCTTCATCAGAGATTTTTAAAAAAATGGCTTTCAGAACTGCAGGTACATTTGCACAGAAGAATCCGGCTGTAAGGTGTTGTAAGTGAAGCCAATGTGTTGAGCACTGCAGAAACCCAGTTAACATGGCCTGTCAGTTGTTTTGATCAGAACTGCTTAAATGAGAGCAATTTCGCTGCCAACCATAAAAAAATTTATTTAGCACTCAGGGTGAAAGTTTGGGAGTTCACTTACTGAAGAGAGGGCACTTAAATTTGTTTACATTTATATTTTTTAACCAAACATGAAACTATAAACAGTGAACTTGGTTTGTTCTGCTCCAGTGGCTTTATGGAACTGTACCAATAGGCCAAGTTCGATAGATCAATATTTTAAAATGGCTCCGAGGCTTTCNAATTGTACCTTTGATAAAGTCAGTTTACTAAATTCAAAGACATGTTTAAGTAACATTGCCAAGGAAATAATTTTTGTGTTACTCAAAAATGCGAAGTTTAAGTGATTCAAATTACAACATTTTAGCAAAATCGCCGAATTTAAGTGTCACGAGATATGTGCACCCCCAAATTGCAAAATAAACGTGTCGCAAAAATTTCATGTAATAAGGTAGCCAACCACAACACTTGGCTAGTAACAAAGGGTTTTGGCTAGTAACATCTTAGAAGTTATCACTAGCCACTAGGCTAGTAAGTTGTGATAGATAGTGAGTAGCATAGTGTCTGTGAAGAGGATATTCACTCTTGATTTTGAGGAGGGCACAGCCCAAGTCAACTTTCTTGTGATAGAAATACAGAGCTCATAATCTCTTTGTTAGAAGGAGAAACACCCACAACTTAGCACTGCTAAGGACTTAAAAGCTATAGATGCTAACTGCATCCATGACATGAACTGAATTACAGGTATTTGACGTACCCAGCAGGAACAGTGGTCTCCCAGAAAGGTTGGCACACTCCATGTGCAACACAGTGAGACAGCAGTCCAGCCTTATGGATCGTCCCAGCAGTGGAAGAGCTTGCTCTGTCCACACTGTGTTACGTATGTCCAAGTATTGAAGACATGGAGTCTGAAAAGAATAGGAAAGGTCACCTTCAAGTTACACGCTAACAAAATTCCACACACAGGGCTCGTACCCTTTCTTCAGAAACAAATTTCCAGGATTTTCCCAGGATTTTTCCATGACTTTTCCAGGACTCAGATTGATTTTTCCAGGACTCTAAAATTCAGTTTAACCCTTTCACTCCCACGATCACAGTGTTATTACATTTTTCTTACTGTCTGCTATATTTTTCTTTATTTATTTTTCTTACTGTCTGCTATTTGCTGTCTCGTATTTTTTACTTGAGTTTAACAGATTTCCAGAACTTTCCAGGACCAGAAGCCCTTTTCCAGGACTTTCAAGTCCTGGAAAGTGCCATTATAATAAAATTCCAGGACTTTCCAGGTTTTCCAGGACCCATACAAACCCTGCACACATGAACAACAAAGAAGCTATGTGAGTAGCAGTGGTGATCTTTGTTACCTTCTTTAAAGTCCTACTAAGAGCCTGCCATCCTCTTATCTTTATCTTGCTATTGTAGGCCAAGTTAAGTTTACATGTCGACTTGTAGAACTCTATCATTTCCAGCAATGAAACAGCACCCTTAAAAAAAACAATTTGAGTCAACAACAAGTCAACAGTGAGGTTGTGAAATTTATGGCATATCTACATGTAAAAGGTAAAAAACACATTATAACAAAAATATTCAAATCAAAACACTAATTAAAAAAAGTTTTGATGACTCCATCCTTACTAAAAATGTTTTATTATGAAATCAATATTCTACCCTTTCGTAGCCTTTCACATCTCACATTTATATCTTTGCTACTGACAGAAAATGTATATGTAATACTGTAATGTTAGTAAAACTTCAGTACGGAATTAACAGGAATTTTGCAGTTAAGCAGACGAACTATAAATCATACAGTGTCATGTACATATGACAAGATTAATGTTCTGACATGTACTCACATCATCTTCAAGTCCTGTATTTTCAAGATCTAATGTCTTGGTTCTAACTCTTCTGAATACTTCCTCAAGGGCTTCACAGTTTCGTAAGTCAAGTTTAACACCTGAAATAAAAGTACGAAGCAGTTGTTAACATATTATCACTTGACAGTCTACAGTTAACTCTACATACTACTCATTTTCATACTTCATCATGGCTTACAATTAATAACAACATGCATGTGTATGCATGTACATTCTTGTCTCTGGTGTTCTGCCACAACTGTCATTACCTCAATAATGGCAATGTAATAACTTTGATAATAAACTTCATATACATGTAAATATATATAAATTACAATGTAATATCATAGATTACTGGTGATAAGCCCCTTCTGCTGATAAACAGAATGTTGTGTAATATTAGCACCTATACTGATTCTATCCTAAATACATATGTCTAACAATAATATGAAACCTTTTGCCATGGTATACATCTCACAATGGAGTGATTGTCAATACAGTGTTAGTAGAAGTGCATTTTAATTACGGTTCAAAAGCAACTTATAATGTTTAAAAAAAATAAATAGATAAATAAAATTATTATAGTTCCAAGCCTGATATGCACATGAAGCCAGCTCACTGAGTTATAAGAGTCACCCAAGATCCCCCTTTGAAATATATAAAGACAGAGATTTATATACAACTGACATTTTCCACTATCATCCAAAAGCAACCCCTCTCTTACCTCTTAAATCTATAACATCGATTCTGTCCTGAAAACTCTCACATGCCTGACAAAAATATAGCAAATTTCCAACAGTTAATATAATTTTAAAAAAATTAGTTTAATACACTCTAGTATCACAAGTCTTAACACCTTACAAGTAGCTTTCAGGAAATAGGCAACTCTTGAGAGTTCTATAGCATGATCAGTTTTAATCAGTTTTTAAACAATATTACAAAATAGCCCAAAGAAAATATGTGAGTGCACCGATTGGTTTAAAATGGCATTTCTATATTTAAGCTCAATAAAAGCACAGAACTAGCTCGAGCTGTTGACATAATGATGGTGCTAGCAGAGAGAATTTACATTTTGATGATCAATGTACATAAGTTTTTTCCTTGTTTTGTTTGCAGAATTTTCTAAGAGAAAAAAAAAAACATGTTCTCCGTGCTCCTATTGAGTGATACATGTAGAAACACTAGAGGAAATTTGCCCAGGACAACTTGAAAAAGCCGTGGGAACACTCACCTATCAGCTTGTGTTCCCACAGCATATCTTGTTCTCCCAAGCTTCTACTCACATGTTTCTATAACTTGATAGAAACATTCCTATTTCTCAATTATAAATATGACTGGAAGTAAATCACCAAGTAGCTGAATGGGGCCACATTTTTGGCAGGTGGGCCTGCAAAATTGACCTCCAGTCCCAATTCCCCTTGGTTGCTCTCTTCCTAACTGCCGGCCAAGGGGAAAAAAGACTCCAGGGACAAGAGCATTTAATAAGGTGCAGACCCCCCAAAAAAGAGGTGAAAAAAATTATACAGTGTATGGATAATTTACAAAATGGTGCAGAAATGGAGCATGATTACCTCAAGCTGTTTTATGAGTTTTTCACATGGCTTGATCTTTAATCTGGTGCATGTGTTCCTGTAGGCATCAATCACCTCTTTGCTGCTATGATGACCAGCTAAAATAAACACAAACTCTGGAACATTAGATATACTAAGCCTTATGTGACATACCGAATGTGCATTGTACTTGTCTGATTAAGCTTTCGTGTAGATAACTTGTTGACAACCCCAGTAACAGAAAAGACACCAAGAAAAATGACTTTATTGCTCCAGAAAATAAATTATCCACACCCCAGAAGATTTTGGTTTTATTATAAAAAACATTCTCCCACCCATCTGGAAATTCTAGTTTACTGAAATTGGCAAAGATAAAGAGAAGGGGTGAGTGAATAAAAGCCCTTAGCAACTCTTGATCTCATGTCAAGTTCTCCTTTTTTCGTAGAAGGAAGCAAAAAACAATTTGCTTGGAGAATATTGCACAGTCCATCAGATGTCACTTAGGGTCTTTTTCCATGCACAAAATCAAGTCGTCTTTTTCATGAGGTGACACATCATTCAATAAATTTTAAGCCCATCAAGCATAAGAAAAATGTTTTTTTCCCACCGGAATCTCACTTTAGGCATGCAGCACACAATCATGTGACACATCAAGCAAAAAAAAGAAACCAGTTGAAAGTAACCAGTGTAATTATACCTCAAAGGGTGGAAACATTAATGAAATAGCTTCCATTTCACTGTAGCAATGTAGAGTTACACATTCAAACTTGTTCATGAGGGTTATTTATTAGCCAGAGCTGTCAGAGTCTCTGTAAAGTGTACCTAACGAAATGAACTTAGAGAGAAACTTACAAATGCACAAAAAAAATGAACAGGTGTTGAATTAGTACTTTTTGTTTGTTCCCATGTCAGACTTTTAAAAAAAAATGGATTACAGTTAATAATGGAAGCAGGGAGTGAAAAATTTCATTGGGATGACCAAACGTGATGAATGTGTCCAAGGAACCTTAAAAGCATCAGCCATTTCCATTTGCAAGGTTTGTTTATTGTGGGAAGTCAGCTCACATGCTTGTTATTGATAAAATTGGAAATTATCCCAGTGACTTCATGAAGCAATAAACAAAATTATAAATATACAAATAATGATAAGCTTGCAGTAAACTTGGCTTAAAGCCTCTTCACTGTGATAGTGGGGTTGAACTTTTAATCATTGCATAATTGCTTTAAGTTACATCTGATATGCAAAACTATTAATCAACTGAGATAAGACAAAAAACTCACCAACCTGCTACAATTGAGGCAGAAAAATTATAAAATATAGCAAAATTTTGCTACTTGAAACACCTGGTTATTTTTAATTCTTTCAAGTACTTTTATCTTGCAGCAACAGAATTGTATGTAGAGTTACTTAAGGTGAGTTTCAGAAGAGGTCATTTTGATAATAATTACAGGTTATTGTATTTATTTGGGGACGATAAAGGACTGCCATAATTGATTGAGAAGCAGTCGGCAAGATCCTTGAATAAGTCAAACAAACTAATATACTTCACTTTTTCACAATCAAGAAAATCCTTTTACAAAAAGGGTAAATTCAAAGGATGTTTTCAATCATGTTTTGTTAAATTAAAAGATGTTATAATTATGCAACAATGTCATATGACAGTGATTGCACTTTCTGCCTTTTTTTTGCTATTTATTCGACAACTCTGTAAGTGGTCTGTCATTTTCTTGATCACTTCAAAACAGAAAGTACGATAATATCGAAAGTGAAGTTTTGAATTTCCATAACTTTAGGTCAAGGTCATAATTTGATACATCTCAGAACTATATTTTTTGTATCACCATTCCTCGATCTTGGAAGGGCTTTTTCACAATTTTATCTAAAACCAAGGTCGAAGTGCAACGTTATAACGATCTTTAATCATTCTTCCAATATGATTTACAAATAATAAACTTAAATATTAAGCTTACCTCTGCTAGTGAAAACAACATTTTAAACGCTTAAATAAAATGCACCACCGGAAATTTTCCATTAAGATATCACGTTTGTTTTCTTTTTTCCCTACTACCATCTACGATTTCGCAAAGAAGTCTCGAAAATTTAGTGGCTTTACCATTAGGTATATGAACCTTGAGTTGAATTTTATAAGGAGCTTCAAACAGCAAGAAATTTGTTTTCATTTACAGCCCACCATTGGTGGCTAAAAATTTTTTAACCGCGCCGGGTGCTGGATCCATATGTACAAGTAATATACAATGGAGAAAATTAAAACACTCACCTTTGGACAGTTATCGCTTGCAGAAATACCTAGAATATGTTTTCACACATCTCGAGAGGAGAGATTAAATCGCGCTAAATGACGCTAACAGGTACAAAGCACGAAGACCAATATTTACGTTTCGCACTGTCAATCGAGAGGGTAAAAGCCCTTTGAACAAAGCAATTTTTATAAGCTTAAAGCTTATATTTTTCCTGTATTAACATTCGTAAGAATATCGCAATTATTGAACACCAAGAACTTACCATTTTCCCAAGGATCAACTGGATCTAGAGCCCGGACAAGAAGGGCATCGTCTGGAAAAGAAACCTTTCTCGATAACTTCTTCGCCCGACCACTTCGGTGATTCCGACAGGCAGCTTCACGTACGCCTCCTTCTCGACCGTGCGAGCCACCTAATGTCCCTTCTTCCGATGCCAGAACATCCTCGCCCTGTTCCATAATTATTCATGGCTTTAAAATTGAATCCATTATTACTGAATAGAGATATAGTAAAGGCAAGCAGACTTCCTGTTTTCCAGCACTGAGATTCAACTTCTCGAAGGAGCCATGTTGAAAAACACCCACGCCGTGGGGAATTGGGTACGAATCATTCGCGCTTAGCGCTTTTTCGCCGACCGCCGAAACGTGTCCGTGAAGCGTGATAACCCGTGAAGTAACCTCATTCCAGAATGCAGCAATATAATCATGCTCGTTTTCTTTGTGAATTGATTTTGGCAATTCCTAACTTAAATTTAATTGACCTCCCACCCTATAAATATAAGTGTAGTCACCTCAAGGGCTAGCGTGCATGCATTTGCTTCCGATCTGCCGGGGTATGCTCCTATCATATTATTTCGATGCTAAGGAATACTAGCTATAAGAATCGTACAGCCCCAGGCCATTATTTTTCCACCACACGAGAATAAATGATAGGTTTCAGTAGAATTAAGATGAAAATAATTAAGGCTAGGGTTAACATGAATGCCGTATTTTGGCTGGGTGTTATGTTTTTAACGTAAATATCTCGTTTACGTTTCAAGCAATCAAAAATCTCTTACCTCATCCCGCATATCTACGTTTTGGGCTGTTTTGTAAATTTTTGGCGATTTTTTGGTATATTTGGGAATAAATAGTTTTTCTCAAAGGATTAGCAAAACTTATGAAAATAGGAAAATTTGAAGATTTGATGTTGTTTTTAAAATAGAATTTCAAGTTAAAAATTGGTAGACGTACACCAGACAGTTGTCCACCAACCTGGGGTGCCCTTTCGGGGGCGTTCAACTGTCTGGTGGTGTTCCAAAACTTTTTTTTTTCTTTTTAATCCCTCTTTAAACTTCCTTAACTTTCACTTAGATTTAGGTAGACCCCCGCCTTAACTGGAATAAGATCTTTTCCGGCCAATTGCGGGAAAGATCCTCCTCTCCTATTGTACTTGATATCTTTTCCGTGTTTCTGTCTTTTAGTATAAATCTAGTAGCGTTCTATCACGAATGCCGTTTGGCTACGCTACTCGCTAGTGTGCGGTTGTTAACAAAATGGCTCCTACTTCTTAGCGTTCTCGAAGTGTCTGTAAAGACGATTTAGATAAAGCTATGAACGACTAGGAGATTTATACTAAAAGAATTAGATTATTCGCTCTGACATTCCTATGCATGATAGCTGACGAGGGCGCAATCACTCGATGGAAATCTCGAGCTCATGATCTAATAGGTCTAATCACACTTTTCGACGCCATCCCAGTGCCAGTCAGGCAAGGAGGGAGGCATTAGGGTCTATTAGAAGCCGCAAAACCTTAGAAAAAATCATCCGAATCCGCAAACTGCGAAAAAAAATTCGATCAAAACCGAAACGGTATACAAATCGTCAAAATAAAAAATAAAAAAAATTCACATCCCAATCATTAAAACTCTAATCCATCTGGTCTGATACAATGGTGACAAGTGGATATGCATTCCTCTCATGCAATAACTAGCATTTCGCGGCTATTCGAGATCAGTTGAGGCGCATAAAATTGCCGCTCAGATCGAAGAGAAACCGGAACACAAATAGGAAAAACGGAAAACCAAATGCTTAAAATCGAAAATCAGCAAACCGCAATGAACACCAAAACCTAAAACCCGAAGCCTTTTGTCACCTAAAAACAAAAAAAAAAAGATCTAAAAATATAGCCAAAACCACAAAATCGAAAATTTCAACGCCCCCCTCGCAAAGCGGTCAGAAATTACAGCGTTTGTAACTTGAATTTTGTTCAACTTAAGAATCGAAACTTTACCCCACTCAGGGTAGCAGATTGTATTCATTAAATTCAAAGATCGACGTAGCTGGGCTAGAAGACGCTCAGTTAACTTTTATTTGTCTATTTTTTTTTCCCGCGAACCGCGTCTGATCCACCCAGCCAAATTTACCGACAAATGAGTGGAAAATTAGAAAAATTGTCTGAGCGTCTTGATCTAGCCAAGCTACATCCTTTAAACTTGCTGAATACCATCTTCTACCTGACATTTTAACGATGCGATTAACAAATTGTGTAAAATTCAATTTTTGAAAAAGTTACGGCCATCGGATTCCCATACAAACACTCTAATTTCTGACCGCTTTGCCTGCCCGTCAAGATGGCGTCGAAAACCGTGATTAGGCCTACTGTTAAATAGAAATGCCTTTTCTAACCAATAAGCGCCCACATTTTCTTTGCAATTTGGGTTATTTTCTAAACGTTTATAAGCTAACATAGGCACGTATACATAAGAGTACAGAAAGTCGAATTTTAAAGAAACTGAAAATAAAAAAAATAAAAAAAAGAGAACAAAAATACCAAAGTAGAAAACTATCAAGAGAAGATGACATAACTGTCAGACTTGATATATTTCACTCTGCACTGTTTATGGAGAATTTTCACGTCCGTTACATGGACTGGCAATGTGTTTACCCATACCTCTTTGCACAATTAGTTCCCTTGGACGCCATCTTGCATTTTGCTGATGTTCTACAAACAGGGTTCTTTTGCGGGCAGAATCGTGCCCACTGAAGCTAGTGCTGCTTATCAACCTCAGGTAGGCTACTAAAAAAGTAATTTTTTTCGTATTGTTTACATAGTTTTAATGTATTTATTAGTCTGAGATCACTAAATTGATATTAACAGACATGAAGCTTTGAACATGTAGATATATATTTTCACCAGGGACTTGGAGGCTTAAGAGAGGTCAAAGGACCAGTTATTGAAGTGCCAATGTCTTCATCTGCTGCGGATACGTCTCCAAACACAGTTCGATACTGGCAGGAAACTTTCAAGGTAAATGAATAGCCCTGCATTGAGACCATTCTAGACTACATAACCGTGTGTCCGCTGCTCTAAGCTACATGTATAAGCTTATCAGTTCATACATGTACAACAATTAAGCTAATATCAATTTAATTTGTGGCCCAGTTAATTACGTACACGGAAGGCAAATAAGCTAATGTCAATTTGTGACCCAGTTAACTGCAAATATGTACAACAAATAAGCATATCAATTTGTGTTCCATGCAGTTAACTACGTACAGTACATGTACATGTACAACTTCACCTTTGCGGTATCCACACATCTTTTTTTACTTTTGCAATCAGAAGAAAGTGATCATATATAAATTTAAATCAAAACAGTGCACCTAAAGCAACTCAAACACTGTGTGCTTTCTAAACTTCCAGCATGCATCATTATTCAGTGATGTATGCTTAAGTATCAATCAATTTTTAATTTGTATAAGGCCTTGCAATGAAAGTCTCCCTGCTTCAAATGTTAGGAGTCCTGCACAAATGTAAAGGGTTTTATTTTTTCAGTGTATATGTGTTTTATTTTCATTCTTTCACTTTTGACATCTCATCCCCTCACTACTTACAGCTGTAGCACTTTCATTACATTTGAATATTAATTTTATACAGTACAGTATGTTCATGTCAGATGGGGAAATCTGGCTATAAATGGCTTATTTTGTACATCAGCTGTGATGAATATGCTGCATGTCCAGGTGCAATTTTTGCCTGGCTCTTGCGTAGCTGACAAACTTATTGTTTAATCTTTTACATGCATTTCTGTTTTTGGATTGTGCATGATAAGATTGTGTTATATAGTTATTTTATTGCTAGTTTCTTTGAATGCACATTTTTATGTAGTCTTTCAGGTGGAATGCAATGTCGGATTTTATGGATTTAAATGTTCAAAACATTTGACCAAGGTCTTAAGATTTCATTCACCTCACAAAGTTGTTTTGTTTTGACAGAAATCTAAAGCCCCAGTATACCTACTGAAGGGCTCCAGAGATGTGATCATATACAGGGGCCTTATGGGCACTGGTTTAGTGGGACTAGGCTATGTCGCCTACACCATCTACATGATGGCAACTGGGAAAATGAAAAAACAGGAGAAATCATAGTGAAGGGGATTCTGTGTTCTTCTTTTCATCAGTTTTGGAAGAACTGTCATATTTGCTTTGAATAGTCTAAGTTAGTTGCTGGAAGCTTCATTGTATAACACTGGTGCCTTATATTAGTCGTCATGGTACTACCAGGGTCTGTAAAGCTAATGAATTGCGATTTTTATAATACCAGTAAATTGTTGAATACAAATGCATGTACTGTTGTTATTTGGAAATATTTGACCACGTAAGAAAACCTCGGGTTTTCAAGAAATGTTATTAATGATTAAGTACTTTTGTATTGCATATACTCTGCCTTATTAGTTATTCCAATAAATTGTCATCTTTGATCCCACGCATTTGTTTTATAATTAGTTGAGAGTACTTACATGATTTATTATCCTTCAAACTTTTTTTGCAACACGTGCAGTTTTGAAAATTGGGAATATCACTTTGATATTCGCCAGTTTTAACTGGGGCATATTCAGTCATGCAATGCATTTGAGTTAAAATGTATGATGGATTTTAATAATGGATAGCTGATGCATTTAAGGTCACTGTTGATTGTATGTAAACACAAAGTCTGACTTAAAGCCAGGGACCCTGGCTACTGAACAATTATTCCATGCACGCACGTTGGATATGAAATGGTAGAAAGCCAATAGCGAGTGTAACGTAGTGCAGAGTTGGCCATAATCATCTTGTATCCAACAAGCACTAGTGGAATAACTGATCCTTGATCGTTAATCCTTGATCCTTGATCTGGTGATCCATGATCCTGTTTTTCAAGGAACCCACAATGAACCGGTTTGTCAAAAATGGAATGGTGAATTTCGGTTGGAATATTCCGACTGACTGAATAAGTGGACCACCTCCAGAGATGATCCTGAATATTCTGGTCGGAATAAAACCAAAATGGATCTTTCCATTTGATTTCCGACCGAAATTTCCAGTATCTTTGGCATAGTGGAAGCACCCTTGGATGATTGAAAAGGTGACCAAATGCTGTTTGCTGTTTTTTACAATATTAGGTAACCCATTGACACCCAGCAATTTTTGAGAATAAATGCATTTTTTTGCACATTTTGTACATTTCCAGCCTGGTTGTGAGCCAAATTAGCTCCAATCTACCCAAAAAGGCATTTGACCTACTATTGGGCTTGTTTCCAGTTCAAGAATTCCCGAGAAAGCATCATTCTTACCACAGAGTAGCCGAGAGTACTGGTTAAGGGAAATTTTGCTCCGAGTCTTTCACTCACATGTTGTGCATATTTCAGGTTCGATTGACCCAATCTGGGTATCATTGGAAGTATCTTTTCCTCCTACAGAACCTGAATAAATTTAAGTGTGATGCCAATTTTGGTCAAAGGTGATGACGTCAGAAGTGGAACAAAGGCCAACGCTCTTAATGGCCGGTTACGGCCGGCACAGGCGTCAATGTGAAATCTGAAGTATCCGAAATGCTTTGTCAGGAATAGCATGTTTATAGCTCTAAAACAAGTTACTCAAGCCATTTTTCTTGACAAAGTTTGAAAATATCGGAATGTTTATTTTGCATTGGTAAAGATGATCATTACGACGAGCTTTACTTAACAAAATAGCAGTCGACTAGGCGTCAATACAAAAAATATTAAATCAACAACTTTGCTTGTTGTGGTAAACAAAGAAGTCACCAAATGAGGTATGTTTTCACAGGATGCTTATCAATAGCCCAAGAGACCTCGCGTCTTGGGCACAGAAGTCAAGGAGAAGTGAAGAGGACGAGATCTTCATTCTACAGGTACTGTACAAATATTTACTTGCTAGTCCTTTTTGTTTACAGTGGGCTGAGGTTTTCATATAAATGATACGCTCATGGACAAGACTATCAGACTTATTTCACATCTTGCAGTTCGCAAATTACAATCACAGCACTCCGACAGACATCAGATTTCATCTGTCATTTCAGAGAACACCGTATCAGAAAAGCACAAAGAAAGCTCAGCAACTGCAGCGGATGAGGAGTGATCGAGGTAAACTGCGTGTCGTTGATGTACAAACGTTTACGCCTGATCAGAGTTGGGGATTCAAAATACATAAGCACTACGTAGAGAATTTACTTAGCTTTTAGGTCCAGAGCAACTCATTAGTATTATTATTTTTGGGAAGTTCTTGTGCAGTGTGAAAAGCTGAAAATTCTCCTAACTAAAATTGAACATTTGAAGCATTATTAAAGCCGGCTTCAATTAAGTATTACTGCTCGCAAAGAAAAGATTATTGATAATTTAAGCTAATGGGCGGTTTTGATACATTGTTAAGAGCTGATACGAATGTAACTTAATGAAACTTCTCAAACTCAAGTTTAATCAATGCAAATCATGACCGTGACGGCGTTTCGATACCTGATCTTAATTAGCACAGATTTTTGCGATTTTTTTTCTCCGTTTTCTTCTTATAATTTAGTTTCGATCTAGAAAATATATCTAACACTCAAGAAAGTGTTTGACCACATTTCTAAACACCTCGAAGTTCGTCAAAAATACTCCGCCGCACACCATATTTTCAACTCTCCTCTCGGAGTATGGAAATTTGGTCAAACACGGTCTTTCATGTTTCATATCTTACGTTAAAACTTTATTTACAGAAGTAATACATCAAAGTAACTAAAACTCTTCATAAACTTGTGGCCCTCTTTATTATAAGTAGAATTATAATATATTTATGTAAAACCTAATGCTAAAAACCCCGTCAATCACACTCGGTCAAGAACGAGTGCAAATCCAAGGCAAATAAAATCTTAGTTACTTGCGAACCGATACACGGAAGCCTGCGAACAGGCTCCCAGCGAGGGCGGAAAAAAAATTCGGCGAGCGAAAGCGTGATTCCGTGAGAGAAGCGAGTGGGAGTCGGAGCGTGAATCCGCGAGCGAAGCGAGTGGGACGCGGGGGACGCGCACTCCCTCGTCACCAGACCGCTCTCGGCTCGTCCCGCTCGCCCTATACTACACTCGGCTAGCTCGCTCTAAAACCAACCGGGAGCCTGTTCGCAGGCTAATACAGGGATGCTCTTTGGTCTTCCTTAATTTCTAGTTGTCTTCCCCAAGACTATCACCACTCTGCTTCTTCACAACACCTCTCCCCGCGCCTCCCTGCTTCATTTTGTTCAGTCCCATAGTGCCTCGCTTGTATTCAACTATTCACGTGAGGCAGCGCGCGCGAGGCCGCGCTCAAGCCGTTTGACGCCATAATAGAAAAATAACTTCTACCGAAGACAACATAAGAGAAAGATGTTTGGCGTGAGGGGTAACGCAAAAGCATGCAATTTTGTGCACAACGATGAAATATGGTAAGGATATTTAAATTTTTTGTTTGTTTCTTCGCTCTGGCTTTATCTTTAGGAGTACATGATCGCTAAAGTGGATTTATAATAAGTTACGGGATCGTAATTCTGCGTCAGTACTAACAGTAGCACTTTGACGCTTTTGCATTTGAAAGACTCTTTCGGTCTCCAACTCTCCTGGTGATTTTGGATTTGTAATCCTTTTTTATCGGTTAGCAGCCTTGCCAAAATTTTCTGGAACTAATTTGAACCTATTAGCTGGCATTGAGCTAAGCTTTCATTAGGAAGTCGTTCAGCTGATCTCGTAAATTTCTGCCGCATAAAGTGACGGAGTATTCTATTCTTTTTGGATGATATGCTAGACCATCGCAAAGTTAGCTCCAACCTTCACTCAAGCAGAGAGAGGCACTGTGATTGCCCTAGAATACAACACGATGACTCCAGCCAAACATTTTACTGATAATTTTCATTCGCATTCTATAATGTTTGGAATCAGATTTCTCTCTGTTTCTACAGTTCCACATCTGCCAAAAATAGATTTGATAAACTCGTACAGATTTCAGTGTTTCTGTATATATAATAAACAAGAGCGAATGGATGCTGCTAATTTTTCAAATGTGTCTATCCTCATTTTTACACTTCGCTTATGATAACAGGAAAGATCATGTAAAAAGGGAGCTCCTCTCTCAAAGACGATGGCCAGACAAGTGGGGGTTTCTAGCGAATGAATATCGGCAGGTGAGGGGCTTTACTCAGTATTTAGGTCATCTGGATGGATAACCAGACCTTTGTAATAACTGTTATTGACCACGCGTGAGGTTAACATGACTCGGATATTAGCCAATTTCCTTTTTTGCTTGCTTATGGATTGTGACGTGTTCAAGCATCAGTTGCCCTAGCCTACGAACACGGACGGATTTCCGGTTTTTGTTTTTTGAGTTTTTTTTTTTTTCGGCGGAGTTAAACGAAAAGCCGGAAATCAGTCAGTGTTCGGAGACTACAGTTGCCCATCGCGCCGGCACTTACCTCCGGTTTTCGTAACATGGAGCGACGAAAAGTATATCTACTCCACTCACAAAAATATTTCTACTAAACTGTGAAAGCCGAATGTCTTTCCCAAGAGCACGAGGGCTTGAGTCCGCAGTGTTCGATCTGTACCCGTCCAGCGCAGTATTCATTAAGCCACCGCCTCCCACACAAAGACGCAGTGTCGGTCCATAAACACACAAGAAAGGAAGGAGGGCAATGTCCAGGCATCTTGATCGAACAAGCTTGCTAAATCGTGTTCAGAACCAAGCTCGTGCTGGTGAGCTTGCTCACACGAGCAGCCAGTAACAGCGCAGGTGTCTGTCCCGTCATCAAGCCGTATAATAAGAAAGTTCTCGTCTTATGACCAGTTACACAATACATTTAGAGAGCTGCTATGAATCTACGGCATTCCCTCTCTCTCTCAAACCATTCATCATTATCTAATAAAGATGTACTAGTGTATTGCTTTGACGGATATGGCGGAGAATGGGGTGGGACTGGAATTGAATGAGGGGCATAGAGGGAGTGGGTGAGAAAGGTAAAGTAACACAAAGCAGCCTACTTCCATAAACTTATCATTCCTTCACAAACTGTTTGCTAGTACTTTTAGACCTTTTACCTGACAATGTTTCACACTACATTACGCTTCTCGCTGACACACTATTCACGGGTATGTTACAACGTGACCAGCTCCAGGCTAGCTTGATAGTTCAGTTGGTAAAGCACTGCACCGGTATCGCAGAGGTCATGGGTTTGAATCCCGTTCAATTAGGTTCTTTTTCTTCAGACTTCATTTTAATTTCGCAACTGCCTAAGTTACTTACTTGACTGCGAATATGTCTCATGAGTCTGAATCGGCTGCCCTGCATGTGCATATATAGGCTTTGACTTTGCTTACGTGAGGGCGCCTGGGTACTAGCCGGAAGCCACAGATCCACTCTTGTCCATTGTACGATATAAAAGTACCAACAATTTCATATTAATATTTTTGAAGAGCACCTTCAAATTGTACCTAATATTTTGCAACTTAAACTTGCAGTTACAGCTAGAGACATTAAGGATTGGTCAAGATAAACTTGATATAGATGAAGGGCGAAAACAAGTCAGCTTGCCCATAACTGGAGACAGTGAGGAAAACTCTGCGACTGAGCCCCAGACCTCGTCTGACGTAGCCAGCACCGATAAGATGTCTTTTCCAGAGACTTCTTCACAAATGATTGGATGGAAAAGCGAGGTCCTGCAAAGAAAAGAAGTTGAACGCAACGCCCGTGGAAAACAGGACATAGTGAAATTATTCAAATGGCCGCGCGAAGGTGTTTAAGCAAAAAACGAAACGAGATAGATGTGTTTAAAATGTACGAGCGAAACGAAGAATAAACCGCTTTAAATCTGAATCTTTGTCTGCTTACTGACTGACAGACCTGACTTTCTCTTTAGTTTTAGTTTCGATTGAGATCAAGACGATATACCTAAAAGTCAAGACTCGACATTAGTCAAAAATACTTCGCTATGCGTCGTATTTTCAACTCTCTTCTCGGTG